TTAAGCACCACTTACCATCCTCAAACAGATGATCAAACAGAAAGACAAAACCAAACCCTGGAACATTACTTACAAGAGTTTATTAATTACCACCAAGATGATTGGGTGCAATGGCTACCTATGGCTCAACACATATACAACCAATTGAAGCATAGCTCAATGGGAGAAATACCAGCAGTTGCATTAATGGGGTATAGACCAGAGTTACATATAAATGTGGACAAATCATTGGAACACACAGCTCCAAAAGCCGCGGAAAGGGCAGAGTCATTGCAAAAGATGCACAACTGTCTTGAAAAAACACTTCATGTTGCCCGTGAAGTGCAGAAAAAGTATTATGATTCAAAGCACATACCACAAGTATTCAATGTAGAAGAATGGGTACTCCTCAATGCAAAAAACTTAAGCATGCTACATCCAGCCCAAAAACTGGACCATAAGTATATAGAACCATTTGAAATCATTGAAAAATGGGGGAAACAATTCTATAAGCTCCAATTACCATCCTCATTTAGAAGTATTCACCCAGTATTTCATATTTCCATGCTAGAGAAATACAATAAAAGGGAAAATAAATTACCACCACCAGATCCAGAACTGGTGGATGGTCATGAAGAATACCAAATAGAAGATATCCTGAACAAATGGATACACAAAAACAAAATTGAATACCTAGTCCATTGAAAAGGATGGGGACCAGAAAATGACACCTGGGAACCAGAAGAACATGTTCAGAATACAGAAGCACTAGACTTCTTTGAACAACAAGAAACATTCAAAGAAGAAAACCCAAAAAAGCACCAACAGGAAAGAAAAACAGCATAATTGCTGCAAAAAATGCAAGGAAGCACTTCATGTTGTGTAAGAAATATAAAAAACAGAACTTCCAAGAACTTTTGTTCTTGTTATTTAATGAAGAAAAGAAAAAGAAGTGTAATGGAAGACTTCTTCATTGATTAAACACTCAAAGATAGCCACTACATGGACTTAAGAAACTAGGTACAGGAAAAAAGTGCTGAAGCACACAAAAAACAACTCTTTTTTGAGCTGAAGCTCAATCTTTCTGAGAGTCAGAGATCTCCCACTCATCATGGACAGTGATGTGGGCAGCATGATGGGCAGCACAGTGGGCAGTGGTGATGTGAGCAGCTTGATAGACAAGATGATGGGCACAACAAACAAGATGATGTTTCAAATGTGCCTGCACTGACTCAATCTGCTCTTCTTCTCCTCTCTCTTCTCTGGCTCTACCCCCCTGCAAACACAGAGGGGTGCCAGGGGTGGCTGCAGACAGAGACAATGCAGACACATGGGCTCTTGCTGTCAATGAAACCCATCCACAGATGGCAGTCTCACATCTGACATTGGCTGTGGTGGCAGCTTTGCAGATTCAATGTCTTTCAACATCAATCAAGGCAGCCACACACACACACTCACTGCACTGCCTTGCAGCAGGAGCAGCCAGATGTTGCATCTTGCACTGAAGATTCAAACACTCAGTGAAGATGATCATGCCCAATCTATCAGCATAGTAGATCAGACTCTGCAAATCAGAGATCCATCAGAGCTCACTCTCTGAATCAACAATCTAAAGTCTGTGTCAGCAAGGAATGGAACAACCTAGACACCAGAAGTGCACAGGACTTGACAAATTCTAGAGCATCAGCACAACTTAGTGCTGAAAACACATCAACAGATGACCATCAAAAACCTCCACACATGCAAAAGATATAGGGTTCTTACCAGAGTACATGGGCAGTGTGCCCCCCAGCACACTTCACAACAGCAGCATCTGGGCATAATGACACATAAGTTGTCAGAATTGGCAAGCAGGGGGAGGCAGTGGGAGCATGGAACACAACTACATCAAAATTGATTAGCAAATGTCCACACAAGTCCAAAAACCAAGACACCAAAAATGTCATGAAGGACATAAACAAAAGCAAAAGTGGGTATATTGCAAAAGGTTAATGCTAATGATGAATAGCATAGATGAGTCAAGAGCTGTTAGTGAAACCAAAATAACAGTAGCAAATGCTACTGCACAATAATGTTGTGGATCAATGACTCACAATGCACAAAAGCAAAACCTCTGTTGCACTGCTTAGCATCAACAAGAGTGCCAAAGCAGCGCAAACAGATCAATTCAGTACTCACACAACATAAAGAATGGTGGGCAGTGAGACAGTGCAGTGAGAGAAGCAGCAAGACATGGCAGCAGTGATGATGTGGTGATGCTCAAGTGAAGGAAGAAGAAGAAAAAGCTTGCACACTGGTGTTGTTGATATTCACTAAGCATTAGTGCCATGCTAACACTGATGACTACACAACCACCAACCATGCTAACACTCACACTAACACTGGCAGTGCGGCGCCACTAATTATCCAATCAGCACCAGCACAACAAAACACCAACATCCAATCAGCACTGGTGCAACAAAACATCAACACTGCACCCCAACACCACAACACTGCAGGCTCCACCCACACCAACACCCAACACTATTGCAAATTATTAACCATACACTTTAATATTCCAAAATTAGGATGCCAATAGCACAATCTGGTGCCAAATTATATCACTATACTACATTTTAGGGCCTCAAGGATGATGCCTACAAGGAAGAGGGGCAATTGTCATGCCCACTGTAGGCTAGGCCTGCTCTAAGAGCTAGTATCTTATTAGTTAGTGTAGCCCTAACCTCACTAAGTACTTAAAGCCACACTGGCCTTCTCCCACAGAAGGTCAGCAATGAGTTCTTCTCTTACTGCACATATAGCAATACTACTTTGATACTATAAGTGCAACTTAGTTACTTTTCTTACACTGTAGACTTGATACATTGTCCTCTAGCATCTATCTTATAGGCTGCCACCTTACATCATGTTATGAAGCAACTCAACATATCTTGAGTGCATTGAAGACAGAATCAATGCTTGAGAATGAATGCAGCATAGAAAAGAGCACAGATTAAGAATGTGAATGTGGTAGAAATGAATCAGACTAAGAAAAATGAAGTGATGCATTATCAACAAAAATTTCAGATTTGAAAGATGAGTGGTCATTCTCTCTCAAGATCTGATCAACTAAGACAATGAAGCTAGTAGTTGAAAAAGAATTGTTACTAGATACAGTAGACATCATTAAGTGTTTTCATTAAGCTCAAATATTAGCACTCTGAATATGCCATCAGCCATGCACATAGAAAAGAGAATTATGAAATGAGAAAACACTTTGTAAAGAATATTTCAGACTTTGTAAAAGCAATTATGAAGCATTAAAAGAAGAAGAAATGAAAGAATATCACTTACATCATCATAATTAAAATCAGACTGACTGAGCTGTGATGTCTGAGAAGAGATCTTAAAGTCTTCAGAGACATAACTCTCTGTTGCATAAATGAAAACTGATGACAATGATATCTCTTCACTTTAATTTTCTTGAGAAATGATAGTAGTTGAGAACTCTGCTTCAGATAAAGCAGAGAATTCTGAAGACATCTCTCACATTGTCTCTGAAGAGAGTCTTGAACAACAACTGATTGAAGTTTTATCTTCAAACTTATTGAGTCATTGTTGCTCACATTTTGACATCTTAATTTAAACAGAAGAAAGACACAGCAAATTATCTCTCTGCCTAATATATTAGTATTGAGAAAAGCTCTTTACAAAGTGTCTCAAGATTCATAATTATCAAGAAGAGAATGCTTGTCTGAAACTCTTATTAAAATAAAGAAGAATGTTGTTGAAAAAGAAAAAGAAAAAAAGAGAGAGAGAAGATTAAGAAAGAGATATTTATATTCAAGAGATTGCTGAGTATCACTAGATGAATTATGAGAAATGACAGTCACTACAGCAACTACATTACAATCACAGAAAAGCTGTTACTCTTGCTGTGATCTTACTGTCACATCTACATCTAGAAACTGAGATTAAATTAAGACTTCATGCTGCAGTCTTCTTACATTCATTACATCAAAAAGAGATTTTGTACAAAATTGTTACAATTACAGTGAAGCTGTCACTCTCACTGTGATCTTGATCACATTAACATCTTGAGAACTAAGATTTATGAAGAGAGAAAAATCTATAAGACTTCATGCTGCAGTCTTCTTACATTCATTTCATTATTTAAAAGAGATTCATAAAATCTTCTTAATATTTAGATAATCATGCTTCATGACATCTGAGATTTGTAAACTTCATAACTGATCACATAATCACACTAATAAAGCTAAACACACAAAATCTGTCACAGATGCTTCTTTATGAAGATTAGTGACAACATATCTAGAGACTTTAGATACTGTTGTAGCAATATAAGTTATCTCTCTCTCTTTCATGCTTAGATCTCTTCATAACCATCCCTCACCAAACTTAACCTCATTTATGAAGGCTGTAAGCCATTGCCACATTATCTGCAACCACCTGATCCTCACACTGATCTAGAAGAGCTATGGAATGTCCATGCAATTTTGATTGTATAGTAGAAGATCATTCTCTGTTCTCCTCTCAGCTTTGAGAGTAAGCTCAAGATGCTGACTAACTAACTAACTAGCTATTTTGGTATTATGTACATTCCATGTCACAAAGGCTGTAAATCATTGCCACATTACCTGTGACCACCCAATCCTCATATAATATATTCAGTGATTATGAGTAATTTTGTGAGAATTATTGAAATTTTGAGCTGTTCTCAGAGTTTCTGATCAAGCAAGATATGCTATCAGTTTGCTACCTGGCCTATAGAGCTATGAAAAGTCTATGAGTGATTTGGTTGTGTAGTAGAAGATGCTCTTGTTCTTTCTCCCTCCAGCTTTGTAGGTAAGCTCAAGGTGCTGACTAACTAGTATCTAACTACTTTGGTATTATGTACAGTAATTCCATGTCACAGCACCTGAGGCTTATCTAGAAGCAAGAACAAGAAAGAATAGGATCATCATCTTCTACACACACAAACTACATACAGATTTTCCATAGTCATATAGGTCAGGTAGCACCTATCCAATTTTCTCTTCCAACAAATCTTTTTCAACCAATCCCCGACATATTGGGTGGTAAAATGTCTTATGTTGCGCAAAGGTGTCAAGGGCGAGGTTTATATCATATTTCTTTAGTGCTCGGTACCTACACCAAATGGAATAGTCAGCCAATAACGAACGGATACCAATCACAGCTACAACAATGCAGCACTTTGGACCACATACAAGGGGCGCACAAATTTCATACGTCCAATCCTCCCAAGTAACTTCACAACGGGCTCCACAACTTTTTTATCCCTAGCCTTTAGCCCTACCTGGAAATAAAGATTTGAGACTTCAATGTTTTCACTTTCAGCAAATCGATATGTTTTACCCATTGTTTCTGACTGTTCGGCAGTCAAAGGCGTTTCGAACAAGAGGATTTGCTCAAGGAAGACAACAAGCTGATTTGCTACCAAGTCCGCAATATCAGAGGGGCTGGGTGAAAAGGACGACTCAGCCTGTGGTCTCCATTTTTTCGCTAAATCGTAAACAACATTGACGAGGGACATGTCGAAATGTGGTTTTGGTGGCAGTCCCGGCTTATAAAACCAAGCATTCCAGTCCACATCCGCAAGCAGCACACTAGAATCCCGGTCTGAGGTGAAAAAGTTCTCTAGGCATGACTTGAACTCAAAGGAGTCCAAGGACTGCCCTCTGAATTTCATGAAATACTAGAATGGCTGCACATAAATATCTTACTAGATTAAGCTGAACATATGCCCACTTACATGAGGAATAAATTTGTCGAACTTCTCCTTACCTATCAAGTTTTCTAGATAAAAGATGAAGATAAAGCCCTTTTCATAAGGGACTGTTGAGAATGCATCATCGGGGTCCTTTCCCTTCAAATCAACAACAAGTTTCGTAAACTCGTGATCGTTTCCGTACCGTTCGACGGCATCAGCCAACTGCTTCCAGCCGATTATTGCGGAGAAATGACGGTGCGGTTCGCCATGGCTGTACAAATGTTGTTAGAGACTGTAAGTGGTCATTCACAACAGATGAATGCCTCACATTGCTGCTTGTATCTTTATTATTAGTTAGCTAGAAATATCTCTTTCAGTGTATAAGGAGCTAGTACATACTCTCCGTTCCAGATATGTAGTCCAGCCCTCATTCAGCCAAAAGTGTTCCCACGAGCAATTAGTGACTAGATTACCGCTCCAACTATGTGAAATCTCATGTGCTATGACATCAATGTTTTGGCGGTCCTAAATATTGTGATCAGGGCTAGAATGCAAATGAACGAAAATTATTTATGTCTCACTTTGGAAATAATGCTTGGTGTGGCAAAAGTATAGACGGGATTCTCCATTCCTCCGTAAGGAAAGCTCGGTGGTAATATGAGGACATTATACTCTCCCCACACATAAGGAAAAACAATATCCTTAAAACGAATTAACTTTGCCCGTAGACGTTAATGGTAAAAACGGCTGATAAGGGCTGATACTAACTCCGATCGCATCCAGAAATTTTTCAACATCAGCTTCAAGCTCCCATTGACACTCTTTAAGGCGGTCTGGACTGGTTGCCACTTTACTGTAGGGGCCTATCGGTGCCTGCACGATATCCCTATTTTCATCATGAATAACAACCAGTGGGATCCGGGTGGGGACAAAACACACCCACTAGCCAGTGCAAAGAGATATGATGGAATTGGCACTTTTTGCTCAAAACGATATTTCTTGATCAGCGGCTGGACCGAAATGACATCAGTACCAAGTGCTACACCGCTTGCAATGACGGGTAGCGCCGAAGATATATTGAAAGTAAATGTCGCCTTCACATCCGGTGTGTCCTGGCATGGGAAAACCGAGCGCGCATGAATTGCCTGGAACTGTGAAACTACAGGGATGATAATGTTAGAATATTGCCGAAACATATCGATAAGACTATTGCACTGACACATGTATGGATGTTTGCCATTTGATGTTTGTTCAGGAGTCAGCCATTGCAGCGCCGTGCACTTATCTGTTGTCTGAACAGAGATCTGGTATACATATTAGACCCACTCGTAGTGTAGAGTTATCAAGTCACTGCCATGTACCTCAATTGTGATGTCTTGACCAAATGGCACTCCGCAGTCCAGGGTAATGACAAGGGCGCTTCCGTAGGGTTCTTCCCGTGGCTTGAGGTGCCATTTAACTGCTTTCTCATCTGCCTTGACATCGTTAATCTGGAGATAGCTCGAATCTAACACAATATTTCTCGATTGAGAATCTGTAGTCGACCTCAACTGATGGCGCACATTGCCTGTTAAGTGCTGTGCTTTGAATTGGATATCAAAACTGGCGGTCGTATGGATTGTTCGGAACTCATTGTAATTGCTGAGAGTGTTTGGGTCACGAAGCGGCTTCTGAGAGACAGCCATTGCAACGTCTGGGGTTTCAGGTGGAACGCAGAAACAAGCGCTGGACTTGATGAGATGAGAATAAAGGAATTCGCGGTGGGGTTGCCGCAACTACCCCCCAGTTGCCAGGATGCGGGGAACGCTTAAGTAACTACTAACTTTACTGCTGAAAAGAGTCCTATTTCTTGCCTTGTCTTTACGCAACTAACCGCACCTATGGGGAAATATGTGTGGATACAGCATAGATCCTGTTGTGTACTATTCGGAAGGGTTGAACTTGATGGGTTTCGTAAGTTAACCATGAGTCATCCAATTGTATTCGGTCAGTATAGTCCTAGCTAAGGCCTAGAATAGCATTTCGCACCACTAAATACCGTAAGCTGTGGAGTCTTGAGCAGGTTGTGTTGGTATCTCGTTAATTCCATCATCAAAGTATTTCAACCTCGCATCGAGATAATACAAATCCCGTTAGGCGACCTATGGCTTCATTCGAGCGGCTTTTCAACACAAGTAGGCTATGTCACAATTCCAGAAGCGAAACAAAGCAGGCGGTTTAGATGGACTTCTTCTTTGTACCACCCTTGGATACATCCACGATTTTCAAGGCTAATGGCCCGAATGTTAGTGTTCAAAGTCTTTTCGAAAAAAGTTGATTTAGATCAACTCTGCGGACGACAACACCTACCAGGAGGTAAACTCTGCTTCAGCTTATCTGCTTTGTCGGAATCACTCAGTACAAGGGTATATAAGAATCGCTTGCATCGGACCTTGAACTTGGTCTGGTTGGTCTTGCGATTGCGCATGATACGTGCAGCTAAAACAGCAAACTCAGGGTCAGCAGTCAATCGCAAACATCGACATTATCATGCTTAGCGAGGTTAGGATTTTGTAAGGGGACTGACATGACGCATCCTTGCGTCTGCAAATCTCGATGAACTGCTTGATATCTGATACTTCGGAAGGCATTGTGTTTAATGAAGGAATAAGACTTTTCTGGTTCTTCCGGCGAGTTGTCTGAAATGGCACACTCTCATACCGTGACTTTTGCGATGATTTCTTGTTGTGGGAAAATTAGGGTTCCAGGTCAGATCTTTGTCATCACACTTGGTTTTGTTTGCCTTGTTTGCTAGCCCTGGCTGGCCAACATCATCAATGGAGACCCGGCTCCGTTTGACATACGAGTACTCCTATCTCCCACCTTAGACCGGGCGGATTTCATTTCCTATCATCTGTGCAAGACACTTGATCGTTACCTCGCCATGATTGGTGGCTGCGATCTTGGAGTGTAGCCCTCTTCATAATGGGGAGGAATGCCGACATCAGCGATGTCCAGGCGGAACAACCGTACCAACCCATGCGTTCAACGTCCCCCACCTCTCTTCGAGCTGAAGCCTGGAAAAGTGATACTACAAGACTCTGCAGCCGCAGGAATGTCTGCCCGAATGGCGATATACCTACTCAAAGAACTCGAAACGTTTCCAGGGTTCGCCGCGCATCCCTGTCCTCCCAGCTACCAGGGAGGCTCGAGTTCCTGGACCGGAAAGATAAAACCATGGCACAAGCGGCATTGGTCGATAAACCGAAAAAGCTAGGAACATTCTCTGGCGTGTTCGTGCCCACTACATTGAATGTATTGAGCATCCTGATGTTCCTCCGATTTGGGTTTATTCTTGGCCAATGTGGCATTTTAGGAACCTTAAGTAAATAGATATCAACGCCCCTTCATATATTTCCAACTTGCTAATGTCTTTACAGCAATGCTCATTGGCTCATATCTCATCAATCTGGTAACAACGATGTCAATTTCGGCCATAGCAACCAATGGCACTGTCCGAGGCGGTGGCGCTTACTACCTCATCTCTCGCTCATTAGGGCCGGAATTTGGAGGCTCAATTGGAATGGTATTTTATCTAGGTTGTGTTCTAAACACCGGAATGAATGCGGTTGGATTGGTCGATTGCCTTACGCAAAGCTTTGGGCTCTCATCGGGGTCATTGTCAACTTTCTTGCCTGAAGGGTTTTGGTGGCAGTACCTTTGGGGAACCATAGTGTTGATTATGTGCACTGGAATTTGCTTGGCAGGAAGTTCCATATTCGCCAGAGCTAGTAACGGGCTTCTAACCGCATTGCTAATTGCAACCTATAGCATCCCGCTATCTCCGCTGCTTGTTAGGCCATTCACGAGCGATAGGCTTCGCATAGTATACACTGGCTTTAGGTGGTCCACCTTACTTGATAATTTGAAGCCACGGTTTACCAAGGGGGCTGCAGGCAGCCAGATTTCTACCAGGGAGAGTTTTCAGAGCCTTTTTGGGATACTGTATCCTGCGACGGGAGGAATATTCGCGTGTGTACTGTCCAACACCCCCTTTCTTTTTGGTTTATTGACATTTTGCAGCGGGGCAAGTATGTCTGGCGATTTAAAAGATCCAAGTCGATCCATCCCCAAGGGTACACTCTATGGGCTCTTTTTGACTTTCGTGACCTATACTGTGGTGGTCTTAGTTATTGCATCGACGGCGACTAGAGAATCGTTGTATAGAGACGTAAATATTATACAAGATGTGAGCAACGACCCAGTCCTGATATATTGCACTACTATGCTAATCTAATTAGATCAATATCTCCGCCAGTCTTATTGTGTTAGGTGAATTTGCAACCACATTCTTTTCTGCTTTGATGGGCTTAATCGGCGCAGCAAAACTCCTTCAAGCTATTGCAAGAGATAACCTTCTGCCTGGTATTTCGATTTTTGCTCAAGGAGCGTCGAAAAGCGACGAACCCACATCTGCTATTATATTTACATTTGTTATTGCTCAATTGACAATGCTATTTGATATAAATCAGATTGCTTCTTTCATTACTATGATTTATTTGATGACGTTTTTGGTGACTAATTTGGCGTGCTTTCTCCTCAAAGTTGGCTCTGCACCGAATTTTCGCCCTTCGTTTCATTACTTTAATTCCTGGACTGCGTTAGCCGGAACTCTTGTGAGCGGTGCTAGCATGTTCTTTGTGGATGGCGTTTACGCTACTGGCTGCATCTGTGTGCTGGTCTTATTGTTTCTGTTTATCCATTATACTACACCCCCAAAATCCTGGGGTGACGTCAGTCAGAGCCTGATATACCACCAGGTCCGAAAGTATTTGCTCAGACTTAGGCCTGAGCATGTTAAATTCTGGCGACCACAAGTTCTGCTTTTTGTTGACAGCTTTGACGCTCAGTACAAGATGATACATTTTTGCAATTCGCTGAAAAAAGGGGGGCTTTTTGTCTTGGGCCGTATCATCGTTACTACAGACTTTGCTGGCGCTGTTCCAGAAGCTAGGCGGGAACAAACTGTGTGGAACAAGTTTGTCGAGTATTCCAAAGTCAAAGCCTTTGTGAACGTCACAATCTCGCCGAGTATTGAGTGGGGCATTAGAAACGTTGTGCTAAACTCTGGACTGGGCGGAATGAGGCCAAATATCGTCGTAATCGACCAATTTCGCAGGCGATATGGCCGAGTCGCTGCAGAGACCGGAGACAACGAATCACGTCAGCCTGGTCCACGGGGAGAATTGAATTCTGTATTGAGGCCGAAGGTTGACGGAAACACCATGAGTGGACAAAGCTACGTGACTGCGTTGGAAGACCTCCTCTATAAGCTTCGCATTAACGTGGGCATTGCGAGGGGGTTCGAAGACATGGAACTCCCTAGCACCAAAGGCCATGCAAAACGGTACATTGATTTGTGGCCCATTCAGATGTCTGCCGAGATATCCGGCGACGGATGCTACAGCAAGAAGAACATTGTGACTACGAATTTTGATACATATACGCTTATCCTGCAATTGGGGTGCATTTTGAATACGGTTCCGTCTTGGAAGAAGTCTTATAGAGTAAGGGTGGCAGTATTTGTTGAGTATGAAACTGATGTTGAAGAAGAGCGCGGAAGGGTGGTACTGTTACTGGAAAAACTTCGCATTGAAGCCGAAGTGCTTGTATTCTGGCTTGCCAGCGGGGATGTGCAATCTTATAGGATCATTGTGAATGGAGAGCGGTCGGGCTTTGAGAATACGACTTTGAAAGAGATTGATGAAATTTTAGAGGAGGAGGAGTGGTGGCAAGAACTACAGCGATTTCGCTGGGGAGACGGTAGAGGGAAAGGGAGAGGTGGGCCAGCGTCTAAACAGCATGGGGCGCGACCAGGCTCATTGGAAGATGAAAACCGGCGGCAGTTTGACGGACTGCGCAAGTTTATCGAGTCCTCTCGGCAAAAGAAATCCGCGGGTAAGCTGGGAGGAATGGCGTTGAGCCTAGGTATGCAGGCCCAACGTCTGGTGGACTCTATGGTAGATTATGGATCAGATGAAAGCGATTCCTCATGCCCCTCTCGCATGCAAGATGACGGGATAGAGCCATATGTGAGCGAAGCCGATGATGAAGGCGAATACGCTGGTGCGGATGAGATGGCCGACGAGCCAACACCGCCAGTGGCGGAAAGCGTGCGAAGGTCCTGGTTGCTCGGCGGTGCAAAGAAGCCTCAGATAGGAGCCGGAAAACGACGAGCAGAATTTTTATCAGAATCTGCGATCACTGACTCGGAGAGCTCCAGCTCGGAGACGTCGACTTCTACTTCGGGGCCCTGGGCGGTAGGAAGGGTGGTGGGCAATGGGGCCTCGTCGTCCCACGAGAAGCCGGGGATTGCACGAACGGCATCGACCGCGCGATTCTCCTCGGCGCCGATCCCTGAAACCAAGATTGCTGCCGAGGAGTGCGCCGGACCTTCAATCATGTTTGCGCCCCCGGAGGGCGGGCCGGCGGGGCCCAAAGGCGGGCAGTCGATATACCAGCGGTCGGCCGTGCAGCATGCGTCCAGCGTCGGGGCTGAGCACGGGAGTAGCCCTGCGTCCGGGTTCCCGTCGCAGGCAGCGGTCTCCATGTCCTTCAACGATCTCCCACGGCGCGCGCAGCACCTCATCGTGAATGAGCTAATAAGGTCGCAGAGCGCTCGAACGGCGGTGATCTTCACGACACTGCCGTCGCCGGCAGAAGGCACGTGCAGCGACCTGCGCAGCAGCGCGTCGTACCTCAGCGACCTGGAGGTATTCTACGACGGGCTGCCGCCGTGTCTGCTGGTGCACAGCAACAGCATGACGGTGACGATGAATCTGTGAGGTGGAGGATTGATATTGACGTGTGGAATGTCCGTAAATAGCTAGCGGGTGGTGCTGAGTAAGCCGCGTGATCTGACTTTAGCTGTGCTGTGATTGGCCGGTTCCCCTCGATAAGGTCCTTGCGCTAGCCCTATTGCAGCCTAGCCCAACCTCGGCAACAGACGGCCAACAGCTTACGTCAGCTGCGGCTGAGCTTGCGCTGAGCCCGGAATATCGTTTCCGCGCGTTTTTTCCCGGCGCGCCAAAGCAGCGAAGAAGCGCAGAACGACGAAGAAGACGAAGAAACAACTGCAGAAACGAGTCCACGCCTGCGCTGCCCATCCCTCTCTCTCTCTCTCTCTCCCCCTCCCACCCTCCCTCCCGCCCTCTCCTCCCTCGGCTCCCTCTACCGCTCGTCCGCCAACGCGCCGTTGTTCTCCTAAGATTGCACACCGTGTAACCACGTTCGTATTGTCGCCGCCGCATGACGGCCGCCCAACTCGTCGCCCCCCCGGCTGCACACATGGATCGGAGAACGGGCGGAAGCATGCGAGGCAGACGGCCCAATGGCACCCACAAGACCGCGTCCGTCGTCGTGCCGCCGCAGCAGATATCAGTCACCACGCACCCCCTCTCCGACGACCGCGCAATCGAAGAATCCACCACCGAAGGCTCCGACGGCATGCCCACGCCCTCGCCCAGCCAGCTCAGCGGCGACGGCAGCTTGCCTGCCGACTCGCCCAGCTCTGCCCGGCGGCCCAATGCGTCGCGGAAGCCTTCCTCGCCCATGGCCCCGACCTTCATGGTCTCCGCGCCCGGCAAGGTCATCGTCTTCGGCGAGCATGCCGTCGTGCACGGCAAGCGGGCCATAGCCGCCGCAATCTCCCTCCGCTCGTATCTGCTCGTCACCACGCTGTCCAAGTCGCGCCGCACCGTCACGCTGAACTTCCAGGACATCGGCCTCGACCACACCTGGGACATCGATGCGCTGCCCTGGGACGCCTTCCACCTCCCGGCCAAGAAGAAGTTTTACTACGACCGCGTCACCACGCTGGATCCAGACCTGGTCGAAGCCATACAGCCGCATGTCGCCAACGTCTCGCCAAACAAGCTGCCCGAGGTCAGAAAGGTGCATCAGGGCTCGGCGAATGCGTTTCTGTACCTCTACCTGTCGCTCGGCTCTCCGCAGTCGCATGGCGCTATCTATACGCTGCGGTCTACCATCCCAATTGGCGCGGGCTTAGGGAGCAGTGCCAGTGTGTGTGTCTGTCTAAGTGCCGCCCTGCTGCTGCAGATACGTGCCTTGGCAGGGCCGCACCCAGACCAGCCTTCGGCTGAATCGGAGGTCCAAATCGAGCGGATCAACCACTGGGCCTTTGTTGGCGAGCTCTGTATCCACGGTAACCCCAGCGGGGTGGACAATACAGTGTCGGCGGGGGGGAAAGCGGTGCTGTTTCGCCGCGGCGACTATTCCAAGCCCCCCTTCGTGAAGCCCATTCTCGATTTTCCGGAGTTGTCGCTTCTGCTTGTCAATTCGCGCCAGGCAAGGTCTACCGCAACTGAAGTCGCCAAAGTTGCAGCATTAAAGCAGAGCCACGAGACCATCACGGAGTCCCTGCTTGAGGGCATCGACCAAGTCACCACCTCCGCGTATGATTTTATCTCGTCGGAGAGATTCGATCACAAGTCCAGCGACACCCTGGACTATTTCGGGACTCTGTTTCGTATCAACCACGGACTGCTCGTCTCGCTCGGCGTCTCGCATCCGCGGCTGGAACGCATCCGGGAATTGGTCGACCACAACGGCATCGGGTGGACGAAGCTGACGGGCGCAGGCGGTGGCGGGTGTGCTATCACACTCATTGGTGCTAGCCGTGACTCGGCGGCTTTCCGGCTCCTTGAACGGCAGCTGGATGACGAAGGATACGAGACCTACGAAACGACGCTCGGCGGCCACGGCGTCGGGGTACTGTGGCCGGCCGTGCTGAAGAACGGCAGCGACGAGGAAGGTGGCGAGGAGATCGACCAGCAGAAGTTCGAGAACGCGGAGGGCAACCAGGGCATCGAGCAGCTGGTGGGCGTCGGCGTGGCCGAGGTGCGCGAGGGCTGGAAGTTCTGGAGACGCGGGCCGCTGGGCTGACGGCGCCGCTCTGGATGCGCGGCCGACGTGGTTTTCTTTCGTTCTTCTGGCATGGCTTGTATACGCTATTAATTCTCTTTTAATCACTGCTCCCACCGGCGCGCGCAGCTTTGGCTGGATTCCTGTTTGTTGTACGGCGTATGCATGTAACTATCTCTGTGTCGTTTCCTGGGCCTCTACTCACAGAACCGAGGCCGCGGCTGCATTCCTCGTGCTGTATGTATAAAGGTGCATATGGATGCCCTGCTCTCTGTCGTAGCTTTCGTGGTCTGGATTCTCAAGCTGGTTGACGTCGACGCCGTTTGCGGCGTTGAATGGCTGCCCGCAGCCATTGTTCTAGTAAACTACATAACTAGTTAACTATCTATTGAACTCGCCCTCGCTCTCTCATACACCAAAAGACCACCCAACCCCTCCAGCTCTCCCTCCCCACTTACGCGGCTGCCAGTCAGCTAGTTATCGAGCTTGTTCTCGCCCAGTTCCGCCTCGTCCATCGCGAAACCCTCTCGCGCCCCCGCCGCCATGGGCAAATACGCCGACTCTCCCCTCTGGGCCTCCGTCACTCCCATTCCCCTAGACGACGGGGCGGACTCGTATGCTACGAGCGAAGGTGCAGATGCTGGTCCGATCGTACCGTTGGTTGCCATCGCCTATTCGGAGGAATACGTCGAGGCGACGGCGTATCTGAGAGCAGTCATGGCCGCCGATGAAATGTCGGACAGAGCGCTGGAGTTGACAGCAGACGTAATTTCGCTGAACCCGGCACACTATACTGTCTGGTAAATACTCCTGTGCCCTGCTCTGTCGTCGCAACCTTTTTGTCAAAGGCCTCAATCTTGCCTGCGAGTGCATGCTATGCATTCTGGTCTACACGAACGTTCTGTGCCGATTAACTTTCCCAATGAGCAGGTTGTACAGAGCGTCTATCATCCGAGCTCTTAAGAAGAACCTCCACGAGGAGATTGCATGGCTAAACAAGATCTCCGTCCAATACCTAAAGAACTATCAGATATGGTATTTAGCTTCCCCCGACGTGCTACTGCTCGCCGCTGATATCTCCTAGGCAGCATCGGCAGTTGATCATGTCTGACAGCATGGTCTTCCCCAAGATTCCTGAGACTGAGCGGGATTTCCTGATGCAGATGTTTTCTCTGGATGCTAAAAACTACCACGTCTGGATTTACAGGACTTGGCTCGTGACACATTTTGGTCTCTGGGATTGCCCCCGTGAACTACAGGACGTAGACATCTTGATTGACTCCGATGTCCGGAACAATTCCGCTTGGAATCATCGCTGGCTGTTAAAATTCAGTCCACGCGACACTAATATTGGTGCCAGAGAAGCTCGGGGCCGCCTCGCTGTGGTTGATGAGGACCTTGTCGACGCCGAAATTGACTATGCAAAGAAAAAGATCCTCATTGCCCCGGAGAACAGGAGTCCGTGGACCTATATCCGCGGCGTCCTTCGTGGCGCTGGGCGGCCTATGGCGGAGCTGAAAATGTTTGCATCCAAGTTCGTCGCTGAGGAGATTGAGGGTGGGGAGGCTGTCAAGTATCAAGTGAAAAGTAGCCTGGCGGTTGAATGGTTGGCGGATGTGCTTGCCGAGGAAGCGAAGGCAAATTGTAAACTCACGGACGCAGTTCAGTGCAACGCTCAGGCGGTGAAAATGCTGAACTTGCTGAAAGAAAAGTATGACCCTATCCGGAAGAACTATTGGGAGTATCGGATTCAGGCCATTACGAATGTCTGAGAAATTCGTTTTAATTGCTAGCTATTCACCAAAGTGAATCTTGTTTTTGTACGCGGCACCCAAAAATTAGTAGTAAAATGAATGGTACTCCGTGCAATGAAAGAATAATGAAGAAATTTTTAGTCTTGCCAACAGAGCGCCCCGTATCCCATGCCAGTATACACCAAACAAAGAATCTAATCGTTGCATTGAAAAAAAGGATAACCACCGTCTTACCAGGCCGAGATACCGTCCTGAGCTCCCCAACCCTCATCCAGTCTCTGTTTCCACTCCGCAGCCATTTCTAAGGAGACATTGCTTCCACCGCAGGTAATGATGACAACACGGCTCTCAGGGCCAAAATTGGGAATCAGGCGTTCAAGGTACGTCTGTGTCACTGTCGGAGTTCCATAATCGTTTGCATTGCTTACTGCATTTTGAGTACCATGGACACGTTTCTCCGTGGCCTTGCTCTTCTCGTTTTTCCACGGCGTGGGACCAATGGCGGCCTCAATGCATACGCCGCATGCCAGCTCCACGAGAAGCTTTTGATCCTCAGCTAAACGCATAACGCCCTTGGCAGCATCGGCATCATGCAGGACCAGCGGGTGCACCTGGATGCCGGCCGGCGGATGAAGTGCATTATCCAGCGTTCTTTGAGCAACTCGAGTGACACCGAGGGATGTAGCGAGCGACGTAATACTGGGCAACGAAATCAAAGAGCCCTTCGAGATAGCTTGCGCTAAGGCATCGCAGCCTTGCGTTTCCGTTGCTATGATGTGAATGTCTTTGCGTCTCTCCATGGAAGCCCCATACATTGACCCTGCCCGTGCTTTGCCGCACATGCGTTGTTGGCGCTCAATCCCCATGATAATTCCATTCATCAGGCCGCCGCCGCCAACACTGCAGATTATGCCATCAACGGCGAGTGCTTCATTGTCACCTTCGCCATTTTCAATATCGGTCTCACGAGGGGGTAGCTGGTAAGCTAATTCATCTACCAGCGTGCTAACGCCCTCCCAAATTTTCTCGTGATCGAACGGGTGCAATGCAATTGGCACAACCGGCGCCGTTCCATTTGCCGGAATTCCGCGCATGGTATCCATAACAATTCTCATCTGTATTCCTGCCTCGTCCAGATTGGCGCCGTGTTGCACAACCGTTGCGCCAGCTTCCCGTAGCTTGTTTATCATTACGGACTTTGTGCTCATTGGTACATAAACCGTGGACGGATACGACAGGGCACTGGCCGCTGTTGCCGCAGCAAGACCAGCATTACCAGCCGACGCGATGAAGAAGTGAAGTTGCTTCTCTTGGTTAGCTGGATCGGAGGCGTAAGAAAGTACTAGATTGCCGATGGCTCTACGGGACATGTTAGTGTTGTGAGTCAACACAGCAGGCTGTTGTGACAAACCTTGACTTGAAAGAACCACTGGGCTGGAGGTTTTCGAGCTTCAGAAAGATGCGACTAGGTTGCAGATCAGCAAACCGGTTGAACATGTTGCTTTGCATATGGTATCAGTCCTACCATCCTGCCGCCCGCGACAGAGCAGTTGATTCAATGAGCGGAGTTTCGACCCATGGCTTTGGCTTTCGCTGCTGGCGAGGCCCTTCAATGCTTCCCATTGTATGAGGGTCAATGAATTGAAACTTATGAAGATAAAAATGACAGATCTCGCTGGAATCTGAGTGTTTGGACAATGCAGTGGGAAGACACAAGATCTATTTATCTAATTGGATGAAGGCACAGCTGCGGTCCAGTATATAAAAACAAACAAAGCAACAGGCTGGTACTTGACAGGGCTCAGGAGTCCATGGGATTGGTTCAAAGCCCCGAAGCTGCAATTTTGAATGAGGCACCCGTGGACGTTCGGCATGGGGAGTTTATATACAGAAATCGGGGACCCGTGGAGGAACAGGGAAGACTGGGCTAGCGGCGGAGCCGGAGTGGATCGGGGTGAGATCATGAGACGCGGAAATGGAACGGTAGATACGAAGATTTCAGGTAACAATAATAACCCAGGAATAAGAATACCCGGAGTGAGCGGTATCAGACTCGGTGCAACCCGCTCGCTACGGCGGCCTTGAGAGCAAAAGATCGGCCGGTGCTTGGCGGATAAAGTTTTCCGCCCGGCGAGAAGTTTTCCGTCGGAAAGTGGGTTTTTGGGCGGCGAAAACGAGACAGAAAACCACCAATGCAAGGAGAACATGGCCTTGGTGCTGCCAGGGCTGTTCTGGACTCATGTCGGCCGACATCATTTTTGCATGGTCGTCGGGTGACGGAAAAAAGAGCAGGAGAGACTGGATGTTGCTCTCCGGCGGACCGGCGTAAGGAGGCACTGCTAGCAAAAAACCACAGTCATTTAATCTTCGACAAGCAAAGGAGGGAACAGCGTGGCCTCTGTTCCTTTTTTCAAGTCCACAAGGGAGACGCCGTAATCTGCGTCGGCACCAAACCTCGCGGCGTCGAAGTGTCTCTTCCCAGGGTCCCCCGCAACACCAAGCATGTCTAGAAGCCGTGCTGCCTTCTCCGGCATGAATGGCTGGAGGAGAATTCCCGCAATCCGCAAGGATTCTGCCGTATTGAAAATAACCCTACCCAGTTTGTCTGGAGTCTGGTTGTCTGGATGGTCAGCGGCTCGAGACCAGGGACTGGACTCCTGAAAGTATTTGTTTGTCTTCGAGATACAGTCAGTGATCGATTGCGTCATCAATATTGAACCAAATTACCTCGTAGATAATGCTCAGTATACTTTCAGCCGCCTTTCGTGGATCTAAGTTGTCCATATGTGACTTTGTGACCTCACGAATTCCTTCTAGCAACTCCTGGTGTTTCTGATCAGCCGTCGACGGGTTTGGAAGATAGCCGCCAACGCCCCATTCAATGCTCTTCCGGACATTCCACTTTTTTGAACGCACAAGCCGACTTGTTAAGTTTCCAAGTCCCCATTGCAGGGTCTTCTTGTATCGCTCGGTGACAAACGCATTCTCATAGTCGGCATCACTAGAAAGCCCTCCATCATGAGCAAGATAGAATCGAAGGGGATCAATGCCAAACCGTGTCAACGCATATATCGGGTTGACAACGTTTCCGGTTGATTTGGACATCTTTTCTCGTCCGATCGTCCAGTGCGCGTGGGTAAGGATGTGGTGTGGTGGTGGGAGATCAAGGGCTATGAGGAATGCTGGCCAGTAGACGCCATGAAACCTGTTTGACCATTCAGCTTTGATGAGTACTTTGGGTTGAATTCCATGAGTGTATACCTTATGATGTCCTTGCCGACAACATGCACGTTTGCGGGCCACAGACTTTGATTTCCTTTACCAGGGGTAAACGGATATCCAGTGTAAGTGAGGTAGTTTACCAAAGCATCCAGCCAGACATATATCGTCTGTCTTTCATCGCCTGGCACACGTATGCCCCAAGATAGTCGGTGCACTGGTCGTGAGATCGACAAGTCTGTTAAACCAGCAGATACGAACCGGACGACGTCTTCCATGTACTTCTTTGGACGGATGAAATCCGGGTTTTGTTTGTAAAAATCGAGAAGTCGTTCTGTCAACGCAGAAAGTTTAAAGTGATAATTTGTTTCCGAGGACCATTCGACCTCTTTGCCTGTTTCTATGGTGGACTATCCGTTCATTAGTTATGAGGTTCAGATCCCTATCATGACCCTTACCATTATCTTGCGACCCGTTGCTGGATCCAATGTCGCGTGAACTGCGTTGGAAGGATAGAATGCCTCATCGCTCACGGAATACCAGCCATCGTGCTTTGCTTCATAGATATATCCGCGATGATCAAGCATTTGCTAGTATATGTCAGAAGAGATCCCCCTCTGTTTGTCGTTGGGACCACACACCCAGAAATATTGCACTGAGTCGCCATGTTCTGGGTCCGTGGTGCGAATGAAATGGTTGTAATCGATGTTAGCCTTGCGTGAGAGATCCTGGTGGCTGGGGGATTAGATATCGTTTGAGCCGTGCGAGGAGGCCCGGTACCTTGAAAGTCTGGCAAAATTGGTCACATAGCTCTTTTGGTTCCAGGCCATGAGCAGCAGCAGCTTGTTGGATCTGTGTCTTGCTTTAGCAGGATTTCTTTGCTTGAGTAACTGGAAAACAGCTGGCTGCACACAATACCTTCATGCCATGTTCATCCGTGCCCGTTAGCAATTGTGCATTTGCATTGCCAAGCAAAACCTGCCAGCGTTTTAAAATATCAGCCAGAACGAGAGTATAAAGGTGGCCGACATGAGGTGCTGTGATACCAGGTCAGTCGCCAGAAGCTACCGATCGGATTCCCGGCTCCTTACAGGAATTGACATAGAAGATGGGCGTAGTAACGTAGAATGGCTTGTCTACCCTAGGTGCGGTGGGTGGCGCGCGGTTTGCCGAGGAGGCGTGTCGACACAAAGTGCAGACCCATGGATGTCTCGCGGCCGTGAAGCGACGGGCAATGCGCGGGGAAACGCGAAGCCCAGAATCCAGCATTGCTGTTGGTGAGCAGAATTGTTCATTGTATGAACTTGTAAGCTTAGAAGCTCCTGTTGTTGATGTAGTTAAGTTAACTTAACTAGTTAACTAGTTAGTTACTAGTTAACTAGTTAACCTAAGAGTACGAAGCATGATAAATGTCAACTTTATGGGAAAGCTCTGCGCCAGCCAAAAACCCCCGTTGCAGACCACCTCAAACTCGTTGTCCACTTAACTCAGCAGTATAGTTGCTGGGCTCGCAGCTGTCATTTGCCCTCAGGTCGCTACTTACCTCAAGCATGGTGGCAATTTCACAGGATGCCCTGACGCAAGTCTCAACCGACGGTAAGCCAGCCTCAGCGTGACTTTTGAATATTGAACTTGCTGACCTCCCGTAGCCACTTCTGATTTTGTCCAGTCGTTCTACAATGCTCTTCAGTCGGCACGGGCCAGCATATCAAGCTTTTACTGCTCAGCTCCTGTGTCCATCCTCTTCAACGGAAATATCGTAACCGACGGCTCTTCTGTTCAGGACATCTTCCTTAACCAAATCCCTCCTGCTCACTACGAAGTGCAATCATACGACTGTCAGCTTCTCAACGCGAATTACCCTACTACCGCGGGTTCATCAACCACCGCCGCCGGCCGACCCGGGGCTCGTTCAACCTCTAGGAACATGTCGCTCTTGGTGCTTGTGAGTGGTTTTGTTCGGTTCGGCGATGGCAGAGAGTCATTTGACATGCCGAACCGGGGATTCAGCGAAACCTTTGTGCTTATCCCGAACCCTGAGCTGGATGGCGGATCAAAACGCCGTGACAAGAAACATTGGTTGATACAGAGCCAGAATTTCCGACTGGTTGTTTAAGATATCGTGAATGCCAAGTCCTCCTTGCTACCTTACAGAAAACTAGAATGATAGAGGTATCCTTCCCAGGTATATCTTAACTGGACGGCACTGCGCTTATGTGAGCCGGCTTTCTTGAAATTCCGGTGGGGCTTCGATCTGTGGTTTGGATAGTCATTGCAGCGGCAGAGCTAAGACGTTCATTCGCATAGAAGAAATCAGGCCGTCGGATCAACAAATAGGGGTTTTCAAATATACTGCGCGCCGCATGGCCGCATGTTTGCTTTGACGCGGTCCAGCAAGTCGCCGTACTCCAGGTTATCACTCGGCAGAAGATTACGCTATCAAAAGGGGACATCTTATCAACAATAAAGCGAATACAGTTTCCCAGCCTCTGCATAAGATAGTGCGTCTTACCACTCGAAGCCATCTCTTTATTTCATCTAGTGTCCAGGATTCTGGGTCTTTGCGCAGTCAGGAGCCTGCAATGTTAAACACAACGATATCACTCACTTCCTGCCGGGTCACGTTCGGGTGGGAAAAGTTCGTTTCCCATGATCGCCCATGTTGCTGCGGCAGCTACAAGACCGGCAAATGCTAAATGGCCACACGGTCAGGAAGCGTTGAAACCATAATAGAGGTGTGCAATTCACCGAGTAATAAGTTCTGTAACTATCGCATTAGCATCTCGATGCGAGGAACTCAGCGGGCATTGCTCGTCCTCACCTTCGAGTTCATAACTCGGTCCAGTTGGGTTGGCATTGTGCGGGAGAATCGTACCTGACCAATAAATTTAATATATTGTTAGCAGTTTTGAGCGATGTTGGACTACGAAGTAAAGCTGGTGGTTTTCTCGGGCCTCGGGCGCCGCCGAGCCGGCCTTATGCGATTAATAAATACCTTTGCCTTCACCTCTTCGAAATGCTGAGGGCGTACGGAGTACTTAACTAGCCAAAAGCGACTATAAGAAAGAGGATTAGCGCTTACTTGGAAACACCTACATTTGAATGAGCTCACTGCGACGTAAAGAGTTCAGAGCTTTTGAAATAGAGTTTCTGCAATAAATGAGATCAGATAGGATCTGGCATCCCACTGAGGAGAGCAGCAGTCACTATGATCTATTTATAGTATTTTCACAAGGCCGTTCACCAGCTGACACTCACACACACAAGTTGCAGAATTATTTCAATCCCCCTCAAACCATGGATGTCACAGGGCCTGATTTTTGTTTTGGATCGAATTTGTCATCTTACAAACTAAATCCCGAAAAATTGGGTCTACACCTGTCCACAGAGAAAAAGGTCTTCTAGGGTTGTCGCCACCAAACCCATCCCGAAGAACCTGATATATGTTGTGATATGGACTATGCTGAATATGTCGGAGAAAACTTTTGTATGCCATCCACATCTGCAAAGTATGAGACTTGGCGCTCAAGAACATGAGCCAGTTTTTCCTCGCCTTCCCCAAGATCACTATCATCAACATCAAAGAGAATGCGTTTATGAACACTATGTAAGTTTATTAACTGGCTGGTTAACTTACTCTAGGTAGCTATATATTTGACTCCAGAATAAGTTGCACCATACCGAATCTTGAGCGCCGGCGCTTATAGAAAACCAAGAAATCCTGCCTTCTAATTTGACGAAGCCGGGCTGCAAATAGAGGTGCGGTGAATATGGAGTATATATAAAGTAGAGTCCAATCATCGTGGTTGTATCAAGCCATTAACAGGACATGCATGGTGCAATATGCATTAGGGTTACCCTGATGATGCAAATAGTTGGCCAATGACATCATGATGTTGATGTTTTAGTCCCAGTCAAGTCATGATGGCATATTCATTTGATTGAGGTTCATTGATATGTGGATACATTCTCGTAATGCTGCAGCCTTTTTACCAGATGACTATTGTAACGAGTGGTTTCTCTTGCCGCTGGATGCCAGATATCAAGGATAACACATGCTGTAACCAAGCCAGATTAGGGATAGTGGCTCTTCATAGTCTAAGACTGCATAAGAGCCAAAGAAAAATAATAAATTCACACACACAAGCACGGGCAACCCCGCGGTTTCTCAGCTTGCTGCTAGCGGGCCTCCATATATACAGGCCGCCGACACGAAGTACTCTGTACGTGCGATTAGTAATACTAACGCGGACTTGCGCAGAAAGATAGGTCAGCTGACCGCGCCGTTGGGGCGTTGGGCTTGGCATCTGTCTCACGCCTCACTCCCATCATGACCTCCGCCCAAGTACGCTATTATTATTATCAAACCAACTACTCCCTACTCCGAACTGATCTCACCCCAAACTCCCGGCAGGCCTTGTCACTAAATATTCGTCGTATATGGCATAGTATATACTCACCCTTGGGCTTCTCTGAAATATACAAGCATTTAAAACCAAACGTGGCCATCCGAAAAGCCGTCTGTACATCGCACCATGCCGGCCAGCGATGACAGGTCTGGAGAGTCAGTACCGCCTCCTGCCCAGGCAACAGACTCTCTTCCAATATTATGCAGGACAACTTCTCCTGCTCTTCCGTCTGATTCTCCCGTTTCCAGCTCCCTTCCAAGACACATAACGACTGCGCGACTCGCCTCACCTATCCCGAACAATCCCGAATTTCCAGAAGCAGGGGGCAGGCAAGCGTTCATTACAACCCAAGCTACGCCTGATGGTCAGCAAGACTTTACGGTGAAGGACACTCCATCTCCGGCACTTCAGCCGTCCACGTCAACGTTAACGTCGAAACTGTGCACCGTGTCCCCTCCGCCGACCAATCATGAATCCCAACCCCGGTCATCATCCCCGGTTCCAGCAAATAATGACATCAATTCATCTCAAGTAATACCTGGACAGGTCGATGATACTTCCCGCAACGTCGCCGCATTAACAGAAGATCCAGAAATCGTTAGAAGGCATTTGGTTCAACCTCAGGGAAGCTCGGATGGACTCAATGACAATTCTTCAGGGTCTGAGTCCGGGAGCGGGAAGGCTTCCAATGGCGCAGACGAATTTTCCAGTTTGCAACTTCAGGGCGGGGACATAACTCGACCGGTATATAGATGGGCAGAAGAAGCGGAGGCTCAAGAAACAACAAGGCGACGGCGAAGTTTCGATATGCCCAGACCAGAACCAGAGCATGCGACCATGGATATTGGCTCCATCAAAGTTCCTGGAGGCTTTCGAAGGGACTACCTTCGTAGGACGGCTGTGGCCCCAGAAAGCAACAGCCTCCGTCCTTCTGCAGGATATGATCGCCACACTAGTCCGCCTCAACTACCAACCCAGAGCTTTTTGGAATTTCTCACACTCTATGGCCATTTTGCTGGTGAAGAGCTAGAAGAGGATGATGAAGCTCTCGGGCCCGATGAGTACTTTGTGCCAGAGCTCTGGACTGAAGGGGAGGAAGAGCCCTGCGAAGAAACTTCGCTCCTCCCCCCAGGTGCTCCTGGGAAGCACCCCAGAAGACACAGAGAACGCGCACCGAAAGCCACTAACTCCGCGACGGGGGCTATGCTACTGCTTCTAAAGTCTTTTGTTGGAACAGGAATCCTCTTCCTTCCTAGGGCTTTCCTCAACGGCGGCATGCTCTTTAGTTCGGTTGTCCTGATTGCAGTTTCGCTGCTTAGTTACTATTGCTTCATCCTCCTTATAAAAACAAGATCTAAGATAGATGGCTCCTTCGGTGATATCGGCGGCATCTTATACGGAAAGCATATGAGAAGGGTTATTCTTGGGTCCATCGCTCTGAGCCAGTTTGGCTTTGTCGCCGCATATACAGTATTTGTGTCCACCAACTTGCAGGCTTTTGTACTTGCCATTACCGAGTGCAAGACGTTCATCAGTATTCAATTCTTAATATTGATGCAACTGCTTATCTTCCTTCCCCTCTCGCTTATTCGCGATATTAGTAAACTCGCCTTCACGGCTCTGATCGCTGACGCTTTTATTCTCCTTGGAATCGTGTATCTTTACGGCGTTGACATCAGAACTATTGTTGATCAGGGCGGCATTGCAGACATTAAGGCATTCAACCCGCAAAGCTGGCAACTCTTGATCGGAACAGCCATATTTACCTACGAAGGCGTTGGGCTGATCATTCCTATACAGGAGTCTATGAAACAACCCCAACAATTTCCTCGCGTTCTGGCTCTTTGTATGATTGTGATCACTGTGATATTCCTGTCGAGTGGCGTTCTTGGATATGCAACCTTTGGATCCAAGACTGAAACGGTGGTACTATTGAACCTGCCTCAAAATGACAAATTTGTGAACGGGGTTCAATTTCTATATTCCATTGCCATTTTACTTAGCACTCCACTACAACTTTTTCCCGCGATACGGATAATGGAAAACGGGTTATTCACACGAAGTGGCAAATACAATCCGGGCATCAAATGGAAGAAAAATATCTTCCGGTTTGTTCTAGTAATATTTTGCGCACTGGTTGCCTGGGGGGGTGCCGCTGATCTAGACAAGTTCGTCGCGCTCGTTGGCAGTTTCGCCTGTGTGCCTCTTGTATATGTATATCCGGTATGTTATTCTCTCCAATTCCAATGTTGAATGTATACTAACTGATTTTTAGCCACTTTTACACTGGAAAGCCATTGCTACAACTCGGTTTCAACGATGGTCCGACATTACGTTAGCGGTATTTGGAACTATTGTATGCGTCTACACAACCACATTGACCATTACAAATTGGGCCGCGGGCTCAAGTGATCCCAGAACACCAGGCTATTGTGATGTTTAGACTTGCCTTTTCAAGAGAGCTATCACAAATACCCTGGGCAGCAGCGCTGACGCATTTTGTTTTATATTGCTGGGTATCCATTACATTTCTCTTTTAACGCCAGCCTAGTAAATACTAGTTGGGTGGTTCGGTTGACCCTCGCCTAACTATTCCCGATATCCAATCCAGTCTTTTTGAACAAGCCAGCTGAAATTCCCTTCGACTATATGCATTCGCGCGTGTTCTAATAGCGACGGCGTTTACATCTTGGATAACTTGGTTGCTATCTTAACCGGATGAAGATTTTAGATATTTTTTTATCTCTCAAAATTAATCATGTCGATTTACCTTACAGGTTTCTAGTACTAACACCAAGTATAGTGGCCTGAATGAAATATTTCGTTTTTATATACAGTACGACAGAAACCAGGTCTCATTTCGATGAGAGGCCATACGCTCCGTAAGACTCTACTTTTCCGACTCTTAATGTGTACAGGGATGAAGGGAAAACCCCCTTCAAACAAAACCAGGTTCCATCTCAATACCAACGGCAAGTCTCGGTATAACTTGTATTGTTGTTTTACACTTGCCGTCGTTTTTATTCTCATTTTTCTTATATTTGACACATGCAGCAGTCGTCGAGCCAAAATAGGGACTTCTGCCTGTAGATAGATGGCTGTAAAGATGGCAAGTACATTATAACCTAGTGTACTATGAGAAATAGAGCGTATGATAACACCGATGATTGCGGTCAACATTCACGAGTTCTTTGCAGCTTCAGAAATATCCTTTGCCGTGCTCGCAGCTCGTTCTGCTAGAAGAGCATCTCGTCCCCCCCATCTATGTGAGGTGTAACGCTATTAGTTGCACTGGCACCATATGCAGTTGAACGCGTAGAAAACTAGGACTGCATACTTCCAATAGCTTAAGTATCTATACCCTTGTGTCACTTGGGCATTAAAATTCACGAAATGGCAGAGGAATAAAAGGTAGTTTTTGGGAGTGACAGCGAGGGAATAGCGCATGAAGGTTGCAGAATAGATTGTCAAAGCGCCCGTCATCTGCCCCGAAATACTGGAAAATCAAGATGGTTAGTGATAAACCTCCCTGAAGCTAGGCATCAGACTCGTGATGTTGCTGGAGATGCGGTTTGACGTACATCTCGGGGTCTTTCTGTGTATCCATCACAGCCGCAATCGGAATGCCAAAATTCGATGCCGGACCCCAGAAATCTGCAGACAGCCACGGATTAGTACATGAATTTCTGGTGCGGGTATAAGCAGTGAAAGTATGGTGCATGGCATGTTTAACAAGATAGCACCGAGTAAACCCGGCTCCATTGCGAGAACCAGCACTACTTACGGGTAGAACAGAAATAGTCCAAAACTCTATTGGAGCGTATCTTCGCATTGATCGCTTTAATCGCAGCCGCCATGGTGATAGATTAAAGAGCAATACCGCCGCAACAAACTGGAAAAAGGACGCAACTGTTGCGTTGCTATGAGGCTTGAGCTTCCTCCAGATGCGGCTTTTGGTGGGCGAGGGAAGATGGCCCAGATGACTAAACAGTGCGGCTGACTAACGCCGATTTCCGGAGAGAAAGTGACGGCTAGTACGAGACGATACAGAAAACATGAGTTGTATTGAAACTAGCTGCTATCATCCATATAACACTCCGACTTGCCCTCAGAACGCCAGCAGACAGGCAAATAGCCCGAAGTGAGATCGAATATTTTGTCTGACACGTAGCCATCCGATAAACACAATTTGTCCGAGCTATGCCATTCTTCGCCGTGTGTGCGCGCACATATTATCGTCCTCCCATCCCGGGGGGCATGCCTCTCCCTTGTCCAGGAGGTTGGAATCCGGGTGGTGGTTGAAATCCAGCTAGGACAGAAAAAGTGAGCTTAAATCGGACGAATTAGCACTAGGAAAGCTTACGAGGTACGACTGTCCCCCCAGGTCCCCCAAAGCCAGGAGGTCCAAAGCCAGCTATAAGACAACCGTCAGCGCATTGAATAAACCAAGAGCTTGAAATGACCTACGTGGGCCTCCAGGGGGTACAGGGGGCATTCCTCTCCCCGGAAATCCCGGAGGGGGTGCGCCTGGGAAACCAGCTGGCGGAAAGCCACCGAATCCTGAGGGCGGAGGCGGTCCACCAACACCTGCTGCTGGTCCTCCAAGTCCAACAGGCAGCCCACGACCAGCTGGTTTACTGACTCCCGGGCCGGCAGCAAGGGTTGGCGGCGCAGTGCCAGGAACACCGGGAACGGTGGTGCCCAATCTTGTGGAGGGGTCGGCGGGGGGAGGGCCATCAACCGAGCATGATACCACGTGAGTCCCCCGAACTATTGTCAAGCCTAAGGTTCTTTTCTCTTCAGCGTCCACTAATGGTCCACTTGCACCCTGGGGCCCTTTTCCCTGTCTGCGCTTGACTTTGCGGAATTCTTCTGTATCTGCAAGAACCAGGTTCATGTGCTAGAGCAGCGTCATAAATGTCAACAACCAGAATGTGCCCAGTGTACCAGCTCCAATCCGCACCTTGTCAAAGGCAAGCATCTGCCCAGTCATTTGACGGCCATCATTAAGTGTTACCCTCATCCGGTAGTTGATCTGGTTAGAATTAGCGAAGCGTAAAAAGTCAGACAAGCGTGCAGCCGCGAGGAGGAGCTGGACATACGAGGTTTTGCTAGAGTCCTGTTAGCTGTTGATAACTCTGTCAACGAGACTCGCCGCGGTAGGTTGGAGACCCAACAGAGACTTACCATCTTGCCCTGCTTGTTCGAAGCCATAGCGCTTCGGGCGCGCACGAGTGCGACGTGGATGCCGTTAGAGCTGCTTTGGGTGCGTCCGTCGGAAAGAACGCATTGGCTGGGCGTCTGTGCAGCGCGAGGCGTCGGTCGTCCAGCGAGTTTGATGTTTGATGCCTCGCAGATCGCTTTGGCCGCCGCCAGCCCGATCCGGTCACGCCAAGGCGCTAAGGGCTGGTCGCTTGATCGCACACAAACGCGCGAAATCCAACATCGTCAAGCATTTTCACCAACCACCACCTTCTCGCCAGCATCACCACACGAGCCACCATGGTAAGTCAAATCGTTCCCCGCGCGGCGTGGTTGCCTGCCTGCCTCGCTAATGCTGTGTAGTCGGAGGGAAAGGACAAGTCTGTCAACCCCATGCGGGATCTCCGCATCCAAAAACTCGTCCTCAACATCTCGGTCGGCGAGTCCGGTGACAGACTCACTCGAGCTGCCAAAGTGCTGGAACAATTGAGCGGCCAAACTCCAGTCTACAGTAAGCCCGCAGTCTCACCATCGGCCCATGACACCCAAGCTCACTCGCATCTTTTTCAGGCAAGGCCCGCTACACTGTCCGAACCTTCGGCATCCGTCGTAACGAAAAGATTGCTGTACATGTTACCGTCCGCGGCCCCAAGGCTGAAGAGATCCTCGAACGTGGCCTCAAAGTCAAAGAATATGAGCTGAGGAAACGCAACTTCTCTGAAACCGGTAACTTCGGTTTCGGTATCAGCGAACACATCGACCTCGGAATCAAATACGACCCAGGAATTGGCATTTATGGCATGGACTTCTACTGCTGCATGTGAGTATTGTACCTACATTGAATTAATGCCAAACCCTTGGTCGGGAATCTAACGGGATCTTTGACACAGGACCCGCCCTGGCGAGCGTGTCGCCAAACGCCGGCGGTGCAAGTCTAAGATCGGCGCCTCCCACCGCATCAACCAGACTGAAACCATCAAATGGTTCAAATCCCGCTTTGAAGGAATTGTTCGATAAACTATTTGCTATGTGGTAATGCGGGATTACTGGGCCTTTCTTTCCAACCAGCCAGTTCGAAAAAAAAGACAAAACGAAAAGGAAAAGAAATGGGACACGACTGCTGATCTGACCAAGGTACTATTGTCTATTATGGGGCTTACGGGCATAGGCATAGGCGCTTTAGCGGTTTCTCACAGCAGTGTTTTTGAATGAAATACATTTATTTTTTCCTGTGGCTCAATTATTTCACAATGGAGGCTTCACGAAGGGTGTTGTTCCGCTTAACCATTGCTGAATAAATTGTTACTTTCTGGGATTTAATCCAGTCGGCCTCTTCAACCCTTCATTTTCTCGCAACAGATTTCATACGGCTCCCGTTGTGGGATTCACCAAAGACTTGATATTAGATATATCACTCGACCCTATAGCTCAAGTTTATAAAATCTTTCCCATTATGAGCAATTTGCGCAGTAGTGGTGCGTGGCATCTTGGAAGGTAAGTCCATTGCTTATTTACAAACACATGTGCTTCCGATTAGACAAAACGAGTGGCTATCGTGTCTGGTTAACAGTGTCCAACATTTGGCTACTGCTAGCAAGCTGCCGACTTCCATACCCTAAAATGTGAACGAATAACAAAGATACTTCAAAGGTTACCGCGAAACACACCAATTCATTGTTAAGCTCCTGCAGTCACTCATTTCGGGGTGTGTATGGGTTTCCCTTAGTGAAGCTAGAAGTCCAGCAACTGTCAGCGCTCCAAACCAGGGCAAGAGAAGGTAGAAAGGCCACCTACGTCTCCCACCATCTTGCGAGCCATTGAGAATTCTCCGGACTTGACCCAACCGGCTGTTCGCTCCAACTTGCCTTTCGTCTCCGCGCGTCTTCATTTAAAGACGTCCGCTTTTGGTATGTAAGCCCTGCATATTTTTGCTGGCCACGCAGAATGCTGCCACCTGGAATTGATCTCTGCCGTTCTTGCAACCCAGGCCGAAGTGCAGCTGGCGGGCTGCCTAATGCCTCGCCAGCTATCTCGAAACGTGCAGATGTACCCGGCAACTCAGGGTTCGGAGGGTTAAATATCGGAGCTTCAGGCTGCGCAGGCGATGCTGGAGGGGAGGCCGCCCCCCGCATAGTTGGAAGTGATACCTGGAAAGAGTGTCAGTGCGTACATGTCTGAGTCTGAAATAGCTGATCTGTCTGGCCGCCGTCACCAGCCGCCATGTCAAGCACTGCGTGCATGGCACACTCACCCTTCTCGAGGCACCTGCTGTGCTGGCATCCTGTGGTCTACTCGGATGGTAATACGACTGAGGTCCTCCGCGAACCCAAACCGGAGGGTGCTGGGGGCGATCGCCAGGATGTTCGTGAACCATGATGATGATGTTTGTTCAGCTGTCAATGATAGTCAACGAACACAATGGAGTCGGTCCGGGGGCGAGACAAGTCCCATTGAACTCGTAAAGCTTACATTCAAAGCATTTCTGGGTGGCGGCATCTCGAGAAGTATCGGCTGCCCATCCAGCTCAACTAGTCGAGCATACATTGAGCATTGGACTCTCTCGCTGACCAAATTCTATTTTTCCAATCCGTTGCTACTGTGCTTTCGAAAATATAGGCAGTCTTTCTCTCCGCAATAGGCATCCGTGGTGGAGCCCGCTGCCCAGTATACAAACGTGATAGAGCACCTAGTTGGGAAAAACGTCATAGCTCAAAGGCAATTTTGGATTCGCTTACCATCGCTCGGTGGCGATACACGACATCACACTAGACAAATCAACCAGCAGTAGGGAACAAAGACTTTTGGTATTCCGTGCTCTACCTAGCCATACAAAATCAGTAAACCAAAACGCTTCTGCTCTGCTACATCACAGTATATATATCAGTCATACATAACCGAGACAAATCAAAAAGGGGATGGATATGTTCAAAAATATCTCTGTAGGTTAGAATACCAATGTTGCCGCCGCGTTTTTCAAAACAACTTGCACAAACAGAAGTAGTCAGAGTAAAGGCTGTATGGTGAGCATCTACACCTTGTGAATTGTACAGATCAAGTCTATTCCATCCACCGAGTCCCCTTCCTTCACCGACAATCCAGAAATGGTCCCGTGATGTGGCGCTGAAATGACCATTTCCTAGAAAACCCGTTAGTCGACAGGCCCAAACCATACATGCCAAGGAGAGTAAACTCACCATCTTCATAGCACTGAGAACAGCAATTGGATCACCCTTCTTGACTTCCAATCCATCATGAACCCGAATTTCGACGACAACACCACTCATAGGAGCACCAACCTGGCTACTGTCGTTGGGGTCCGCCTTGGGCCGACTGGTGTTATCGACCGCGGCCAGAATATCATCAACGGTGACTTGTCTGACTTCTCCATTCATTTCATAAAACACCTCTCTTTGGCCAGTCTGCTCGGAAAGCGGCCCAACAGCTAACAACTTGAGGATAAGCACTTTGCCTTGTTCCAGCTCAACGGAAAACTCTTCGCCAATTTCGGGCCTGGAGAGGAAATACTTCGTTGGCAGAACAGAAAGATCGCCGTACTTTGTCACAAACTTGCGGTATTCTTCATAGACCTTCGGGTACATGGCAAAACTAGCAACATCACACTCTGTTGCATTGCCAAATTTCTCCTTGAGATCTGCTTTGATTTTCACAAGATCCAGAGGGGGGAGATGAAGACCTGGGCGGCTGTCCAGCTTGCGTCGGTCACGGAGCGCTTTGGAACGCAGGGGTTCAGGGAATCCACCGTATGGTTGACCCATCAGGCCCTCAAGGAATTCAAGAACAGATCCGGGGAAGTCAAGCTCGCCAGCACGAGCAATCACATCTTCAGGAGACAGCTTGTTCGAGACCATAAACTGTGCAAGGTCACCAACGACCTTAGATGTAGGGGTGACCTTGACAATGTCACCCAGTAGATGGTTGGCCTGTTTGTAAGCCTTCTTAGTTTCGGTCCATTGGGCACCAAGTCCAAGTTGGTGAGCTTGGAAGATCAAGTTGGTCAGTTGGCCACCCGGGATTTCATGTTCATACACCTCAGGGTCAGGACCAGTCAGCCCTGCCTCAAATGGCGAATACAACAGACGTAATTGGGCCCAATAAGAATCGATTGCACGGATGTTTCGAATATTGAGCTTGGGGTCACATTCGGTTGCCTCAAGTGAAGCCAAGATGGCGCCGACGCTAGGCTGAGAGGTCATCCCAGACATGCTGTCCGTTGCGGCATCGACGGCATCAGCACCCGCCATCGCGCAGGCAACCATGGAGGCAACACCAGTACCAGCAGAGTCATGGGTATGGACATGAATAGGGAGATCAGGATATTTATTACGAATCGCTCCAATCAACATGGTGGCGGCTTGAGGCTTTAGTACGCCAGCCATATCCTTAATACCGAGGACATGCGTGCCGAGCGCAACGATCTTGTCGACGAGATCAAGGTAGTAGTTGAGATTGTACTTCTTATCGGGGTTCAACATGTCGCCACTATAGCAAAGAGTACCTTCAACGACACCGCCCGCAGCCTGAACGGCCTTCATACCAACCTCAAGCTGGTTAATGTCGTTAAGTGCATCAAAAACACGGAAAATGTCGACACCGTATTTTTTGGCTTGTTTGCAGAAGTGGTAGATAGCATTATCCGGGAGCCTAAGCGGAAGATATTAGAGCACATTGTTGGTTGACATGAATAATCATACTTACGACGAGTATGCCACACCATTTGCTCCCCTTAGCAACATTTGGAAAGGGATATTTGGTACCGCCTTTCGAAGCTTTCTAAGACGATCCCACGGGTCTTCATACAGGAATCGCATGGCAACATCGAAAGTAGCGCCACCCCAGCACTCCAAGCTGTATGCATTGCTGTATGCATGGCTTGTTTCCTTAGCAATGTTCACCAAGTCGACGGTTCTGACACGGGTAGCAAGGAGAGACTGATGTGCATCTCGCCAGGTTGTATCCATAATCAAGCAGCCCCGATTGGCACGGATGGCCTTTGCAAATGCAGCCGGGCCTTGCTCATCAAGAATGTTTTTCCAGCCCTTCGTACAGGGAACAGAAGTGTCAATCGGTTTACCACTATCATCAAGGATCGTTGGCAAGGTAATTGCGCCTTTAAACTTGGGTTCACCGACTTGGCCTTTGATTCGACTGCCGTTGACAGCAACATCTCCCAGATAAGCAAGCAGCTTCTGGGCACGATTCTGACTTCCGATGAGCGAAAAGAGCTCGGGTGTGTCATCAATGAATGTTGTCCAGCAGGTGCCTTGAATAAAGGTTGGATGGGTCAGGAGGGATGCCAAAAAAGGAATATTTGTCTTGACACCACGAATTCGAAACTCAACCAGCGCACGGAGCATCTTCCGTCGAGCAATTTCATAAGTGGACCCAAGACAAGTACATTTCACCAGCATAGAGTCGTAATGAGGTGTGATAATAGAGCCAGCAAACCCGTTTCCTCCATCCAGACGGACACCATTACCACCTGCAGAGCGATAAACTTCAATTTTACCAGTATCTGGTTGAAAGCCTTTTGTGGGATCTTCAGTAGTGATACGGCACTGAATGGCAAACCCCCTGGTGGAAATGCGGTTTTGGGTAAGTCCAAGCTGCTCAAGTGTAGCACCGGCAGCAATTTGAATCTGCGCAGCAACAATGTCAATGCCAGTAATTTCTTCTGTGATGGTATGCTCAACCTGAATGCGTGGGTTGATTTCGATGAAGTAATATCGGTTCAACTGATCAACAAGGAACTCAGCAGTACCAGCATTACGATAATTGACAGACTTGGCTAGCTTGACGGCATCACCGAGAATGCTATCACGAACTTCGACTGGTAGATCTTTGGCGGGGGCAAGTTCAACAACTTTTTGATGGCGGCGCTGGACACTGCAATCACGTTCATACAGGTGCACAACATTTCCATGGTTATCACCGAGCAATTGCACCTCGATATGTTTTGGCTTGTCTAGGAATCGCTCGACGAAGACAGTGCCGTTGCCAAAGGCCGATTTTGCCTCAGACGTTGCTCTTTCAAAGGCGTCCTGCAAAGACGCCTCGTCTCGAACGACACGCATTCCCCGGCCGCCGCCACCAAAAGCGGCCTTAATAATGATAGGGAAGCCATACTGGCTGGTGAAAGCCTTGACTTCTTCGTAGCGTGAGACGGGGCCCTCTGTCCCTGGCACAACGGGAACATCGCATTTCATTGCCAAGCGACGAGCGGAAACTTTGTCACCAAGGGCATCAATTGTGTCAGGGGTTGGGCCGACAAAGACCAATCCGGCCTTCTCGACGTTTCGAGCAAATGTAGCGTTTTCAGAGAGGAAGCCATACCCGGGATGGATGAGATGGACACCGTGCTGCACGGCGATCTTGATAATCTCATCGCCGGCGAGATACGCACCGACTGGGGTGTACTGGCCTCTGGCACCAATCATGTAAGCCTCATCGGCCTTTTGGCGATGCATGCTCAGACGATCTTCATGGGAGTAGACGGCAACCGTCTGAAGAGACAGCTCGTGAGCGGTACGGAAAATGCGGATAGGAATTTCACCACGGTTCGCTACGAGAATCTTGTGGAATTGCATGATGGTGGAATTGGCTCGTAACCGGCGATGAACGGAATGTTCGAAATTGGAGGGGTGATGGTCCTCAATGGCATCGTCAATGGCATCCTCGTGCGAGATAGTAACGGTAGGAGTTGTGGCAGCCATGATGGAAGTGGCTACGGGTGCAATTGGTCTTTTCCAGGGCGGTGCCGATGGGCGGTGGGCGGTGCTGTGTGAATTCCCACCCTGAGAGTCGGTGCGGTCAGCTAGAATGGGAGGCAGACCGGTCAGCGAGGCAGTAAACGACAAGCAGATACAATCAGAGGACAAACGGATTGGGTGAGAAGAGAAGAGAAGAAAGAGAGGGGGAAGGGAGGGGAGTGGAGGAGTTGGTTGAGGTTCAACATGCAGGGAGCGGGGTATGGAGTGGACTGGGCGTACAGATGGGCTTCGACGCCAGCAATCGCCGACCAGCGTGGCAGGCGGATGGACAGGGGCGACGGAGGAGCGGTGCGGGATGGCGAGGCGAGGGGAAAGAGAAAGGAGACAGAGCAGAAGAGAGATGAGGAGAAGAGGTTGATAATAAGAATGAGGATGGGGAGGTTCTTTGTTGTTGTGTGTGTGTTCACGTGGGAGTCAGCATAGCTAGTTAGTTAACTACTCCGTAGTTACCTAGTTACCCCCGCCACGGAGCACCGATACGTCTCGCGCCGCCACAGCAGTAACTACCTGCGACGCCCCTGCGACGGCGCCAGGAGTTGTCGCCCGCTAATGGCCGCGCGCGATTGGTAGCGACCAGCCCGCCCGTCATGCGCCCGCCTTGCCCGTCGGAGTTCAGCGCTTTCCGTCGGCCCGAAACCGAGGCTGCGATGCCCACGCGCCGCGACGTCATCGGGCGTTCACGGAGACTGTGCTTCCGCGATAATTATGATGGATGTCAATCGCCCTGAAGTGAGGATCCAGAGAAGGACCAGGTTGCAGAAACTAACTAGCAGCGCGTAGAGTACAGGCAAAAAAAAGACGGTCATCGTACGATGCATGTAACTAATCATTCCACCATGCACTTTTTCCCCGCCGTAACGTCCAGGATATCACTCGCCGGCAGGACCTTGAGAGCATCGTACTGCGGGCAAGTAGAATTAATACATGTAAAAAAAGAGTAAGATCTCCTCGTGAGCACGCGCGGCCGACCCGATACCAGGCACAGGCAGAGCGGAGAGAAATAGGGTTAACAGCAACGCATCTATCATAACGGACAAAACAGAGAACACAATCGTGTGCCATCAAACCGTGTCTAGAATGGGCGGAACCCCGTGGCCTGCGGCGTGATTCCGTTCATCGATCCACCAAAAGGCATACTGTGGACTGCTGGGCTCGCCGGCCCCTGCGTCAGCATCAGCCGTGATCCACCAAGCACGGGCGTATTGTCTTCCTCCTTCTGCTGCGCGGCCTCCTTGGTCTTTCGTTCCTCGTTATCCTTCTTCAGCATCTCAATCGTCCGTACCTGCTGGCTCAGCATATTAATCATATAAGGCATGGTGAAGTCGTGGAGCCCGTGCCGCCAAGACATCTCCAGCACTACGTCTGGCCGGATGAGATCGTAGCAGGCGTACAGCATGCCGACATAGCACTCGCGGCTACCAATGTCGACGAACTATCGATTTTATTAGATGAAATTTCACTACTACGAAGAGGACGGTACTTACATAGCGCAACAGCTCCTCGACAACATCACTTTTGCCCGAGATCGCAGCAGTTTCGATCGCGTCCTTAAAGAGTCTGTCCTGCTTCGACAGTGAGATCGACTTCTCCCACCGCTTATTCTTACGGTATATATTGGCCGCAATCTGTCGAAAGAATACCAACTCGTGTTTCTCAAGCCTCTGGGCTAGTTCCACAGGGTCGTAGTTATCATAATTTTCAACGGAATCGCGCAGCGTCTTGTAGTCTTCTTCTTCGATCAATAGATCATTAATGGCACTATTGACTGCCTTCTTGTTCTGCGACTGCACATTAAGCAAGAACGGCTTGATCAGAGGGATATTATCCGATTTCTCAAACATACGGACGACTCGATTTACATCAACCCTTGCAGTGAGAGCTTGCAGAAGATCAGTGAGAAGTAGAGGCTGTTCTTGCAAGTAAAAGTTCAGAGCACGATAGTATATTTCGAGGTTTGCAACCTTGACAATGATGTCTTTGAAAGAATGGTGCTCCCACGCATCTGCTGCTCGTTCCATCATCGCCAATGCCGCATTATCCCATTCATCATAATGACAGTATAGGAACACAAGCTCTGGCCACAGATTCGCCTCTTCGCATCCACGGATCATCTTTGGGATATTAATACGAGTCCAAAAGAGTTTAAGGTGCTCCATGACTCTGTCGGGATGGTATTTCGACAGAGCTATGCCGAGCTCTGTAAACATGCCCATGTGCGCCCTCTCCAGACCCAAGCCCGCTTCAAGAAGGGCAATAAGCTCATCAAAGTAGCCGTTACACTCATATTGACGAACAAGATCCTGTAGTTCTTCAGCGTGCACAATAAGATTGAGACCACAGATCTGAGCGAGTCTAAACTCCTTTTTGGAAACACAAGCCTCGTTTACTTGCTTCCAGACCTTGACATTATTTCCCTTTCTAGCACATTCCACGGCAGCTTGGTAGTCTTCAAGGTGGACAAGGGTTGTTGCAAGTTTTGCCCAGTTTGAAATGCTAGTGAAAAATATTTTGGCTGCCTCATGATAACCCTCCTCATAAGCTTTATCGCCAGAAGCTTCAATGTCAGCAACATTGACCGTACGGAGGAAATCTTCAAGGTCAGCAAGCTGGTTGAGCCTAGCAAACGACAGAGCTAGTGCAGTGTCGACGGCGGGTTCACGAAGGGTTTTCCGGGCCATCTTTAAGAACTCGATTAGATCCTCATCTTTTCCAGCATGTGTTGAAGTCTCAATAACTTCATTGTAGTTTGAGGGATCCCCGGCGCGGATATACGAGGCAATAGAATCAGACACACGAAGCCCATCAAGCTGGGCTTTTGCAACCTTGCTCCAAACTTCGGGAATTTCGACACGCTCGGCATATTCTTGGGCTCTATCAATACTGACAATATGATCCACAAGTACATTTGTGGCAGCAATGTGATTGTCAACTTTCTTATAGATTTCAAAGGCCTCTTCGTAAAGCCCAACGGATAGACACATCGTTGCAATTTCCTCAGAATTGAATTCAGTGAGCTTATGAATATAGTCCATTAGCCTTCCTTTATCAGCCTTGGCTGCAGTGAGCATCAAAAGATTCTGGAGACTGCCATTTTCGCTGAAAGGTGATGGTTCTAGGATGATCTTTTCCAAAAGTTCAATTAACTCAGTGGGAAGATCAGCATCAAGGAATGCTTTAACGGCAATTGAGACCTTATCTGGCTCAGAAGATTCCGGAACAGCAGTAGCAATGACCTGGTCAACAAGAGAACGGCGGTGAATATTGTTTCCATTCAGGACAAATGCCCATATTTCAGGATCGGCTCGCTCAAGAAGATATCGCGCCTGGGCACGATACATGGAATTCTCATTCGTAATGTTGATGAGCTCCAAGTCATTTTGACCTTTTCGGTAAGAAATATACGCCAAATTGGGATCTCGCTTTTCGCAATATTTACCGACAATAAGTGGATCGTAGAGATCATTTTCCTTCAAAAATTTCTCCGGGTTGTTATTGCTATCGATATAAATTTTAGCGAGGGCGTTATAGACAGCCTGTTGTTGGTTGCCCGTGGCAAGGGTATTTTCAAGGAACGGCAGGAGAATCTTCAAGCGATTTCGGCTCTCAACTTCACCGACCAGTTCATCGATCGGAATGGATGAAGCATCCACTGTTGAAAGAAGATTTTTAACGATATTTTCATCACAATCTACATCAAGCAGACCTCCAATAACAGCGGGGGTCCTTGACGGATTAACCTGCTGAACATACACCTCAATTGACTTGTACTGCTGGTTTTGGTATAAGTAGAGAACAAGGTCGTGAATGAAATTGAATCTGTCGCAAACGATAATCAAGGGAAGTTGTTCCGTGAGGCGAGCTTCTTTGAGAAAGTTTTTCACCTTTTCAGGGTTGTAGGAATTGCTCTCCCGACAAATGCGCTCAACTTCTGTCATTTGCCCCATCTTAGTGGCGGCCTCTATATATTTGAAGTGAACGTCAGGGTCTTCACTTAAATTAACGATGCTGCCGAGATAGTAGTATAATCCTTCCGCGGTGCGATATTTTTCCAATAAGTTAATTAAGTTGACGGCCCCTAGTAGGTCTGAATACTTCGTTGCTAGCTGGACGACTGCCTGAAGGTTCTGTCGTAAATTTACCTTCAACATCTCATTCATACACTCCAAAGACTGCTCGACAGACAGACGACCGAAATAGGTGGTTAACCAATCAGGGTTTAATTTGTCAGTTCTGACAATATTGCGCATAATGACTGTAGGGTCTTCAGTGTTCTCCAAAGCACGCTGGAACAAGCCCGCGCTCTCACATAGCTTTGAGACTCTGGTTTTGTCGTAATGTGTAAACATTTCGTTCCCAAGAATGGCGTCGGCAACTTGGGGGGCATGGACAAGATTCATCTCCAACAGGCGAGTTTGTAGATGGCCATGTTCAGGCTTGTTGTCTTTGAGTGCATCCAGTAAAAATGCAGTTGCTTGCTGAATCATACTTTGCGAAATGAACACATCGACGACGCGATCTAAATCGACAACCGCTCCGCTCTCATCACTCACAAGTTGTGCAGCAAATTCGGCACATTTTTCTGGATTGACCCGAACAATGTGCTGAAGAAGTTGAACATAATCGGGTTGAAAGCCAACTTGTTTAGAGTAGGCAAGAATCTTATCGAATTGACCTGTTTCCGCGAATCCAGCTACTACTTTGTTTGGGATGTTGGCCTTCAGATAGATCCCCAAGGCAATTCCTACATCATACGGTCGAACAATATCGCCCAGTTCTTCCGAGCATTCGAGCTTATCTTCACCTAGCCACTTTTCGAGTAAGTGTTTTCGGCTCTGTTGCATGACAGGGCGGATCAGTTCAATACTCTCATGCTTGTTCAGCGAACCTTTGTCTAATAGCATGCCAAAGTATTGAAGGATAACCGACATTCCCTGTGCGCTCTGAGGGGCGCTTTTAAGACGATTGATGGTGTCGGGGGTACGAAGAAAGCCGCGAGGTGAATTTGCCGCAACTTTCGCGGCTTCCATATAGTTTTGCTGGCCAATCAAGGTCTCGAACTGCCTCTGAAGCAGATTATCAGCCCCAGGAAGACCTGCTTTCGCTGCCATTTTTACAGCGAGCGAAGTATTGGCTGGGTTATCAAGTAGGTAAGGAATTATCGTGCTTTCATCGACACTGACAGAGAGAACTTGGCCTTTACGATTAACCCCGACTAGGCCGGTGGATTCGGAGTCTGGAGTAGTAACAAAAATAGTCTCGCTGGAGATGCGGTTCATGAAGATACAGGTGCCGGTTTCAAGGTCATAGAGATGAATAAAGCCAAACTTTGTTACTAGGTAGACAATGTCGTACTTTTTAGAGACTTGCATAGCGACCGGGAAGTCGTTCGTAGCCTCAGGTGGGAAATAAACGTCCACTGCTTTCTTCACAAATTTTGGGTTCGGTTCCTGATGGTCTATTTCTGCAATTTGTAATTTTGCCCCGGTTTGGGTTCGAACAGCAAAGGTGAAGAGTTTATGTGGCAAAGGTGAACCGTCAACAGATATAGAGGCAAAGGATGCAGCATGACCTTCGATGTATTGCGAAATACCACGCTCGACGGAATGGAGCTGCATTGTCCCGACAATTCGCCCTTGCTCTTGGCTAATGCCAACAACAACCATCCATTTCTGATCCTCATTAACTTTATAACTGATGATTTGGCTGGTCTGGAAACATAAATCGTTAGCTAAATAATTCCAATGGAATACAATGACACTCTTTGGACATACATTTAGATTGGAGATGCGGTCGAACATTTTTACTGGAGCATGCTGTGATGTGTCAAACACATTCCAGTGGTATATGGCTGCATCCGTGACCAGACCCAAGCTGGTCTCGCTAAACCATTTCCAGTACACCACATCCTCCGAAAGCACCGCGGATTTGAGTTTCTGCTTCACTTGAAGGTCAAATACTTGAACAGTTCTTCCTTGAGCCTTGAGCGCAATGATGTTTTGGTTCCAGTGCATTATAGCATTGTCAGCATTGATGGGTCGTCGGACGACTTCATTGTTGTTTTTTAGGTTGACGATGATAACTTGGGTTTTGTCTGCTTCGGATACTTTCTGGCGAATACAAACAAATTTATCGGATTCAAGGGTCTAAGTACAAATACAGAACATGTTAGCGAAATAGAACAGCGCCGATAGGCGTTGAGTGCACTTACACATGAATTGAACCCGATAGACGCAGACTAGTCCAGAGACCCAGTCAGTCAGAGGCAATATTTTAAAACATCCCTCGCAATTGTAGCGATCGAGGACGTCAAGTATATGAAACATTCAAATTGGCGAGGTGTTGAGAGGTGCGCAATACATACCACAATGTCAAGGTTCGTCAGCTGCAGAAAACAACATTAGCAAGCCTACAGAGCAGCCATGCGCAATAAACAACTGGCGAAAAATACCTGCAGCAGTTCGGTAAATTTAATCGGTAGAGGAGCCATAGTTCCTGATGGCCGTCAGGCTAAGCCACCCACAAGAAATTCCTTACTTCCAGAAGACGGTGACGCCAACAAATCAACAAATAAAGAGCTCGGTTGTGAGGGGAGGGTAGTAATTAAAAAGAAAAAAGTCCGTAGCCGTAATTTTCAAGCAAAGTAGGATAAAACCAGAGGGAAAGAGAGAGGAAAGGAAAAAGGACAGTGGAAGAAATGGAATGCTTTGATGCTCATGAGAAGATGAAGCTGTTTACCTTTGGATGTGAAGTTGGCTTCAGGAGATTAGACACGTGACCTAACAACTAGTTAGTTAGGTAACTAAGTTAGTTAACTACCTAGTTATGAAGTAGGTTGCCTCATAACCTCAGACCTTCACCGTATGTTGAAGAGCCGTCTCCTACCTTACTAATTAGGTGGGTCTATGCCAAGTAAATTCGCGCTAAAGAACCTTAGCAGCACGCGTCTGAGGGGATGAGGTAATGAAGTAGGTAGTTATGTGTTAAGTAGTAAAAGTAACTAACTAGGTAACTACGGAGTAGTTACCAGTTAAGTGGGTTTAGTGAAACCAAGCCAGCTTTCATTCACCAGTATGGAGTATGGAGTAGTTAGACAAACAAACAGACCTGGCCTGCTGCTTGAGGACAGTCTGCCACAGGGATACCACTTCTGAGTACTCTGTACAATGAATGAATGTCCTGCTGTTCTCCTCATAAGGTTTGGTTACCATCCTTTGACACCCCAAGGCCCCCAACTGAGTTAAACTCTACATTTCTTAAATTCTAGCACTTCTAGCCACAAAGACTTGACAACATATTCCTCCATGCAAAATGCAACCAAATAACCAAGTAGATATCAAAGCCTTTTTATTAATGGTGGAACAGACGAGTACCCTGCTGCACAAAGACAATATCCAGCTTCGCTGCAGCGTCAAAAACAGCGGAATCATTTTGGCTTCCACTCGGCGCTGCGATATATTTAACTCCAGAGCGGGAGGCACGGAAGACATTATCAACGAACGGGAACTGTTTCGAAGTCAGCATAAAACTATATCTTTACCGCCTTGTGCAGAAGGGGGTCTTGTACGTACGAATGCATCTGAGGAGACTGCAACTCCACTCAGCTTCTTCGCCCACTCTTCTCTTTCTTCCGTTGTAAACGCTACAGGAACCTGTTCAAAAACCCGTTCATAATCCTGTTTCTCCACATCGGTCTTGGGAATTTGACTAGAACATAACATATCAATAGCATTGCTCTTCTCGGGTCGCTTGACGCCTTTTTTCCATTTAATATTTAGTGCTCGGTCATGGAATCGCATCCACCAGTTATCTGCTTTGTCTCCAGCAAGCCGAGTGCAGTGAATTCTGCTCTGCTGCCCAGCCCCTAGTCCGATAACCTGGCCGTTTACAGCATAACAAACAGAATTCGATTGGGTGTGCTTCAGGGCAATTGTGGCGACTGTCAAATCACGAAGCGCAGATTCTGGCAGGCTGTTGAGATTATTTGGCGTGATGATGGTATTGAATGTGGACTGTGGTGCAATAATGACGTCATTACGGTGCTGCTGGAGCTGAACACCATAGACTGTTCTAACTTCATCGCTCGAAGGCACGTAGGTATCGTCCATCTCAAGGACGAGATATTTACCCCCTTTTTTCTTCGTTAGGATGACAAGCGCCTCCGGGTGGTAGCCTGGGGCAATCACACCGTCGGAAACCTCGCGAGAGATGATTTTCGCAGTGGGCACATCAACAACATCTGACAAAGCAATCACATCACCAAAGCTAGACATGCGATCGGCGCCTCGTGCACGAGCGTAAGCCTGCGCCAACGCAGATTCATCTATTCCGTCAATATCATCCACCATGTAGACCTTTTTTTCCTTGTCGTTCAGTGGAATTCCGATGGCTGCACCAGCGGGGGAAACATGCTTGAAGCTCGCAGCAGCAGGATAACCCAATGCTTGCTTCAACTCCCTCACCAGAGGCCAAGCATTTAATGAATCTAACAAATTAATATAGCCTGGTGCCCCATTCAGTACTCTGAACGGTAGACGTCCTTGGCCCATAAAAGCGGCGGCGGGCTTTTGGTGCGGGTTTGCACCGTATCTGAGGGCAAGGTGCTGTACACCATCACTCGCATACTGTTTCCTAAAATACCCAGAAATTGCTTCGTCATAATCAGCAGTATGTTCAAATGCCTTTAGCGCATACAATTGACGGTTTTTCTCTGAGATATCTCCTTGTTTCAGTTCCCCAAGGAACTCGGGGTAGTCTTTTGGGTCGCTGAGGACAGTGACTCGAGAATGGTTCTTCGCAGCGGCTCGAAGTAATGTCACCCCACCTATATCAATTTCTTCCACGGCCTGGGCAACAGTCACCCCTTCTTTACATACAGTATCCTTGAAAGGGTACAAATTGCAAATCACAAAATCGACTTTGTTGATCTTCTGGTCGGCAAGATCTTTGTCATCAGACTCTATATTTCGGGCAAGGATACCACCGTGAACGGCGGGGTGCAGGGTCTTCACCCGGCCGCCGAGCATTTCAGGAGCATTGGTAATGGCAGACACATCTCTGTTGTGGTTTGTGCGTAAATTATCACCCATCCCACAAGCAAAGAATGCCATTTAAAGCAGCAGTGTGCGTACTCACTCGACAGGAATGCCAGCTTCTCTGATCATCTTTGCTGTGCCCCCAGAAGCCAAAATACGGACATCATGCTCTGCCAGGCCCTTAGCGAGATCGAGTAGACCGTTCTTGTTGTAGACGGAGACAATAGCTGTAGCGTAGTTAGACTCGCGTCAAGTGGGCGGGAAGCAATTGAAAGCCCAAAACATACCCGACTTCTGCGCCATGGTTGCTTGTTCCCTCACGCAGTGGCACAGCTTTGTGCTGCCCCACCAATTTGCAAGAATTTGTATTGAAAGAACTTCCTGTGCAAACACGGCAAACAGCGGCCCGAAACAGGCTTAGCACTGCAGTCTTTTTCAATTCGAATTTTCCCAACTTTCTTTTCTTTCTTTTCTCTTTTTTCTCTTCTTCGAACAACGCAAATTTAACCATTCAACAGTCCTCTCCTCTCAGAGGCTTCCCTAGGAATCCCATGATGTTAGGAGGTCTACAGATGTTTTGTATGAATGCAGAACAAACCAACAGCTTTGATCTTGGGTGCAGTGTCATTCCTTGAAATCCTTTATGAGTGAGACTGCAATGATCGATGCTACACTCTTGTCCATTTCAATTGCATTGTATTGTGTTATTTTCAGATGGTTGAACATACGAAAAGCCATATGTCTGCATACGGAAATTTGAAAAATTGCGTGGGAATTCATAGCTTTCGTGACAAGTCCAAGGCACGACGGAGCATTATTATGTGTGTATGTATGTACATACACACATAAGTTGATTCGCGCCATACCGACCAGACCATTCCCCCAACACAAATTAATGAGTAATTACAAATATATAACGAGGATCTGGTTAAAAAACTCCGCTGGAGGATAAACAAAGCGGTTGCAACACATAACTGGGTTTAGACGCTGAATTAAGCCAACCTCCTACCAATATTACCAAAACATACACAGCTACAAAATAACACACTGGCAATCCACGTTCCCACCGCTATGCCCTCCTGCGTCATACCCATGACCGTCGCATTATTTGATATTGTAGACCCGTTCATTGAGCTGCCAGGGGAGACAGCAGCGGCTGATGAGGATGGCTGCGTAGTCGCAGGCGAGGGAACGAGCGTCGGGTTAATCCCAAGTAGCGTGAACATTCCGGCGATCCCAATCACAGTGGAAAGAATAAACCCCGGTTTTGAGCGATCAATGAGATACCAGAGAACGGGGTTAACAAGAGCGAGCGTAAGGGAAACTTGAAGTGTAGACTGCCACGGCAACTTCCTCTACCCATTGTAATTTGGTTAGTCGGTGCTACCACGAAAAAATATAAAAAGGAACGGGGGCTCACGATAGCAAAGGCAATCCCCACAAAGGCACCAATACTCCTGAAGATTGGACTCCATTCCAGAAAGCCGTTCTCTTTAGCTCGATTGTGGCGATTCGGGCTCACAACTAAACCCTCTCCCCAGAAAAGGTCAAACCATGGTTGCAGGCTCCCCAGGAGCACGCCCGCTACTCCCCAGAGCCCCAAATATCCTAATGAGGACCGAGTAATATCAATACTCTGTACGTTCACTGGTACGTGTCCAGCCACAGTCGGGTGGCCGTGCAGTTGCGTAATGATGCCCCCGTAAGCCATCCCAAACAAAAACAACAGTACGCTCCTTCGGATAAACGGAAGTAGGAATCCCTTGAAACCATGCTTGCGTGTGAGATGGGTATCTATTTCAGATGCGAACTGTGCGCTTGACGAAAGATACGCTCCACCGTCTCTTGAAGCATTCCGTAAATCAGGCGTTTGCGCACCCGTACCCCACGGCGTGTTCAGATCATCTCTCACGCCATCGAATGCGGTAGGCGAGTATATGCCGAATAGCGTGGGCGAGGTTAAATTCATCATGGATTGAGAAGGAAGTAAACTATCTTCATTTTTAAAGCTTTTGGCGTTCAGGATACTAGAAGCTTCCTCGACGGCTGGAGTTCCGGGTTGCGAGGACTCGGCAGAGGGAAGGTCAAAGGTCTTTCGGGGACGGGGGCGGAGGGTCCGTGACTCGGAGTCCATGTCAACGCAAATTGGAGTGGTCAGCGGCAAAGATTACTTAGAGTTCAAACAGTATAGATAGAGTACTGGAAGAAGGATAACGGTACGTGCGTTGCGTACGCGCAAGAAGAGAGCAGCAAGCAAGCGGGTGTGAAGAAGCTACACTTCTGAGGATATGATGATTCGGAGCGCCACACGCGACAAGAACCACCACGTGGTGATTGGTCTGACTGCTGAGTCAGATAACTACCGGATCGGGATAATATTGATGCGGCGGCGGCCCGGCCTCAGCTAAGGCTAGAATTAATTCAAGTGATCACTACTAAATGTTCTATCAATAACTTAAAGATTAGAAACATAGAACAAAACAGGGTTTGCGCGCTTTAAGTCTCCATCATACTCTCTTCGTCACCCAGATGGCTAGCATTAACATCGCGCTCTAAGGCAAAGCCACGGCCCTCGGAGTCTTCGTCGCCAGCAACCTTGGACATATCCATATCGATATCGGAAATTTCTTCAGTTTCATCATCATCATCATCATCATCGCCATCATCATCATCATCCTCATCACCGACATGCCCGAATTCGGGCCCAAAACCGATGCTGCTTCCATCGTCCATGCGGCTCCGTGTACGAGGACTTAGCTCCCCACCAGGTTCTTGGTCGATATCATGAACGCGCTTCGCAATCTCGCCATCCGTATCTTTGTCAGCTTTGCTGGCAATAGCCGACACATGGGCTGTTTCACCTACACCAGGCGTTCCCAAGGGTGCAGCCTTAGTTGATGGGCGGGCGCGAGCTCGGCCCCTTTTCGGAATGGCCTTCTCGCCGCTTGATTTTTTTTGGCCAGACGAGCTAAGTCGACCGCCCGTTTTCCTAGTTGGAGCACCTTGTTTAGACCCATCCCCCATGCCATCAATAGTCTTTCTGTCTCTTCTGGCGGTCCACCTGTTTTTAGGCTTTTGGGCAATGGTTGTAGACTGGCCAATTGCCTCGACATCTTGTCCTTCTAGCATGGAAGGGCAATTGTACTCCATCCCCAGCCCATTTGTTGGATAGTCCTTTTCGTCGGACAGAACCGACTCCCAGTCCCATCGTTGAAGCCTTCGCGCGGCTTTTCTAATAACCGACAGGTAGAAACTAGCTGCTTCCCCAAAGTCCTCTTCCTCCTCAGGGTTAGGACAAATACCGCCTTTCCCCCAAGAACTCTCATCATCTGTGTCGTATCCAGCTGGGAGGTTTTGAAGCAGCCGTCCCGCGCGGGCAAACGATATTTCGTTCTCCCGGCGCGTCCGTAGGGAGTTCCACACACTCGTCCGCCGCTGGGCAAGAACATAGTCAATGCGTTGCCTCCGGTTCTGTTCAAGTGCTAGCTGGTGTTGTGTCATCGGCCGTGGACGACGAGGGGTGGAGTGTTGCCCAGCTGGGGTATTGCCGGAACTATACTGTTGCAAAATCGGGTGGGCGGCACCTGGAGGCGCAGGAGAGGCGATGTCTGGTGTTTGCTCCATTCTCGTCTTCAGAACCAGGCGTTGGGGTTGCGAATTTGGAGGTCGGTTTATCGACGACTCCCTCTTAGGTCGCTTGGGCCGGGACCGTGAGGGGTGACTAGGCGTTTGGCTACCGCCTATATCATCATCTTCAAGGGGTCGTTTTGTGGTATTCAAAGGAGTGATGGTAGTGGCACTATGGCCACCGCGACTACCTGAAATACCTTTATCCCTCTTGGTATGGCCAAACTGACCCGTATCTTCAGACGCTAGGTCGTCACTTATATCTTCTATTTACCCAGAAATGTCAGACCAACAATAGGTATGCGGCACATTACCAGATGAACATACCTCTCTTCTGGCGCCTCGGGTGCCGAAGAACAATATCATCATCCTCCAAAATCCCTGGAAAACAGGAAAGATATTAGTATAACTAGACAGAGTAAAGAGGACTCCGTACTGGGGGCAATACACACTCTTTCGCTCCCGCTGCTTTTCTTCGCCATATCGAATTTCTTCAAGGGTATCGATATTCTCGGCCTCAGCTTCGAGGTCGGTAAGCTGTTCCATATCCGGGACTTTTAAAGGAAGGCCTTCACTACCCTCCCCTACAATACCAGCACCAAATGGGTTCTCCGATGTGAGCGGTCCGGAAAAGTCGCTCTCCAAATAGTACCACATCAGCCATAAGAACGCATTGGCACGACTCTTACTGCTCAGCGTAGGGCGCATCACCAGATCGAAGAAGTCGCCAGGGGGGCAAAAGTGCAGTTCCGATACTCTTGGGGCAAATTGAGATAGGACAAAAATTAGATTCACGGGATTAGTTCGAGGGATCGGAAGGCATTTTATCTGCTCAATTGTCCCTGGCTGTTCGACGTCCTCAGACGCGCCCTTTAAAATCGATTTTAGACGCGGAGCGTCTTGCAACTGCTTGTAGGCGCTGGAATCCTGCCGAGCTTGAAGTGATGGAATAGAGTGGTAAGTTCGTAATTGGGCACGCATCTCTGGGAAGACTGTTTCGTATTAGTTGCACTCCATATACTCTAGATTGGAACCTGGGGTGAGAACAAAATTACAATTCAAGGTTGTGTTCATTCTCCCAAAGTTCACCAAAAGACAGACCATAGCCATATTGGTGGCGGCAGGCTTATCGTGTTGTAGCTTCTCCTTCAAGATCTTGCTTGTCTTGCTACTTTTTGCCATAGTATCAAGATAGAGATCAGCGAACGTAAAACCCTTGTCGCCCTCGGGAAAGCGAGTAAAGCAGGTCGTCTTGTCTTCAAACACACATTTGAGAAAATCATACTGGATGTCCTTTCGCCAGAGTGGAATGCCGTCATCCTTTTTTAAATGTCTAATCTTATTGCCGGCGTAGACAGATCCAATCGTGCCATGTCCTTGTCTTCGAGTTGTTACAGAACTCTGTTCGGTGGGCGGTTGATCATCGGGTGCTCGTCGGGCAGAGGTTTCGCGTTGCGAGCTGGAGCTGTCGATGTGAATAGGGCGCGACGCCCTCGCGGACTTTTCTGTGCGGGCAACACCACCTGCTGCTTCTGTAGCCATAGGTCCCACAGCCTCCGCGAGGCTAGGCTTTCCATGGAGGGTTTGAGGGGCTGGCAGATCAGGGCCGTAAGGCAGAACAGCTGGCTTGTTGGAGGCCAATTCAAGCAATGTCGAACCTGGCGATGCTTCATCTCCCTTGTTACCCACAGTCATCTGAGGAGATTCCGCATAGCGCGACATGAGCGGTGTGTCGGGTAGAGGGTGTTTGGTAGAGGAAGCATTGCAAAAGGCTGGAGTAGGAGATGGGATGCGAGCAGAACCAGCGTCGCTCGTCATGATGGGACGATGACTGAAATGACTGAAAGAGATGGCATACAAGGCATGAATCGGAGTCTGGTGTCGCGACCAATTTAGTTAACTAGTTAGTTAGTTAGTTAACTAACTAATTGTTATGTTACTTAGATTTGCGGCTCAAAAAGCTCTGGGCTGCGAAATAACTAAACTAGTGGTTATACGGGGGTAAATTAGTGTGTGTTATAACCTGCGTTACTATGTAAGTTATGCCAAGGTGCCGTCTAACTAACTAGTTGAACTAATTAACTCCATACATTAGTTACCACGAGCAGAGCTCGGATTTGAGTGTGATGATTCTGCCAGAAAGCACTTTTGAAGTAATGCAAGTAGGTCAAATATTAATCTTCTTACTCTTCAATAACCAATACAGCACAATATTAGCAGCTACTAGCAAAAGCGGAGCAGCAAACAGTCTAAGAGAGCGCACCTGTAAGGATACTATAGGATAGTTGTATGTATATTCTTCTTGGGAACTTTGACCATAGGTTGATAATAGTAAAGAACGAACATAAATAGCTAGTTATTTCTTGATAGTATGTCCAGAAAAATAACGGCTAATTACACTCATAAATGAGAATCTAGCTGGGCAAGTAATTGTGCGGTCTTCTTCGCGTCCCTCATTTTTGGATCAACTTGAATTAGTGAGTGTATAAGCTTTGCTACGGCCATCCTTAGGTTCTCATGACCGCCCAAAAACGCATTGTATGTCAAATATTCGTCGATAACTGAGAGCTGTTCACTGCTACTCATGTCTGCATAGCTGTTCTGAGTGTCATGTAGCCAGAACAGATGATTATCTGTCAAGCCGAAAACTATCACACAGCCTAAGGCCCAAAGGTCAGTTTTTTCATTTGCCACCCCTTCTGGATCTTTAGCTATGCGATAAGGTTGGTATAACTTGGTACCAAAGGTACCCTTCTTCGAGGGTACGTCAAACGCTGTTTGTTGCATTAAAAATCGTTAGTATCCATATCATTATTTAGCCGAGAGACCTTCGGCTCACCTTTCCCAAAGTCAATGATTTCTACGGAGGACATATCATTTCCATCTGTCAGCAAATGACCCTCGTGGGTAACAATATAAATCGGCAGGTAAGCTGGTATCTGGGGTAAGAGTGTTGACTTTGGGGCACCTCGAAGAACCACAAAATTTTTCTGGTCATCTTCAAAAGCTGCACGTAAAAATTCAGGTAGCAAGGCATTTTTATGTAGTCCAAGAGTGACGTTGTAAGGACTCAAATCTAGGGAATTTAGGTAAGAAATAACATGATGCAAGGGTTGGCATTTAGCCTAGGACTTACCACCATGTCTGATGCCTTGGGCGTGATATGAAAGCACTTTTTGGACAAGAGTACGAACGAAAATCAGGATGGAATCAGCATCGACTGGAGGCCGGAGTTCCGCATTTTCCCTTTGGTAAAGAGTACATCCAAGTGGCTGCATTCCAAGGCAAAGGAATTTCTCGCGTGTAGGTTTGTAGATATAAAAGAACGCTACCAGTAGCCTGTCAAGTTTTTTCATCACTCGCATCTCATCATTGTCTGGCTTGCTGGCATCACGCGTCAAAACTTTCAAGGCCAAAAACCGCGGCGAGTTACTGTATTAATTCCATTAAGACGATTGTTTGGAGAAGTAGTAGGTAAACTAGGGCATTACATACTTGTCTTTGACCAGCCAAACTGTAGCATAAGATCCTCTGCCCAATTTGCCAACCACTGTGAAGGAGCAATGCTGTCCCCTACAGAGAAGGTTTTCGCCACGTAGCGTATCATCAAGCAGCACTGGACATAAACCTCCCTCAGTATATTGGGCTAGCAGTTCACAATCACTGCCATCAAAATACTCTGTTTCCCAACCAACCCCCTTTCCGCGTGGTCTCACGCCGTATTGGACAGAGGACATCAAGAGAGCAAGGCCACAATCGGCAAGACCTTACATATAAAAAGAGCCTGAGAAAAGGGTGTGTTTATAGAAAGTGACCTAAACGGAGGATTAGAAGCTTGGTTAGGGTGTGTGTTCTATGCTCCGTACATCAAGTAGGGTGATAACTAGTGGTTATGACGAACTATGACCCGCCACCCCGAAATACCATGGTTAATACTCCGTACGCTAGCAAGTCCTTAGTAAGCCAACGGCGTGCACAATTGCCATACCGGAATTCCGGATCTGTGGAATACCATAATGTGATGGTAGTGGCAACGTAATCACTACATAGTAACTCAGCACAACATTGATCCTACAATTGTGTAATATTACCAAATCAGATTGCTGTTATCCTCAGTATTCTCAATGTAGGATTCTGATCCAATGTATGCAGCCATCTACACTGCACAACATATTGCAGACTCAATGTTGTCATTATCTGATCTGTATTCTTAATCTCTCTGTTTCTTGAAATACTGTTGAATCAATCAGTGAAAACATATTCAATACTCTGTGATAGATTCAACTGCTTCATTGTTAATACTATCTAATACTATGAAGTACAGACTCTATATACATAAATTGTTCACAGCAATGAGACTTCTTAAGTGCACTGCAGAAATGTACTGAATGATGAAGACTGCATTATTAGTTTTTTGAAATCATAACTAACAGAAATTGTATACAAAGCAGATCTGCATATCACTAAAAGTTCTACAATATTATATTCACTCTTCATTATCTGCAAAACTGACAAATTCAACACTCTCTCACATCAGATCTTCTCAGTCTGATGCACTGCAAAGAAAGTTCTTTCTTGACTGTTTCAAACATGTGTGAATATCTGTCAGATTTGCTCATGATGAATCTTCATTTCATAAGTATATTCAATCATGTCATCTTTTCATAACACAATTCAATAAGTGGAAGTTGGAAAGACAAATGTTGTCTTTCAGAAGAAGTTTATTGAATCTGAATCTAATTTCAGTATTGAATGAATGTGTCAGTTCTGCTTATATAAGTTCCAGAGATTCTTCAGAAATTGATGAGTGATAGATAGTTTGAATAATCATGAGTGTGAAATTTCAAGAGCTTGAAGACTCTCATCTGTCTGCATTTAATTTATCATATTTAGTGCAAGATGAAGACATGTGCTCATAATGCTTACTTACTGTTTCAGATTGTCATCTAAATCATCTGACTGGATGTGTAACATGTTTTTGATCAAGATTGGACATTCAGATTTAATCTCTTGTATGCAGATGATGGCTGTGGATTCTGTTTCAGCAAAAGCATCATGCAGAGTTAATGTGAGGATTGGATGGTTGCAGATAATGTGACAATGGTTTGCAGCCTTTGTAAATGAGATTAGGTTGGGTGAGAGATGATTACAAAGAGATCTAAGCATAAGAGAGAGAGAGAGATAACTGATATTGCTACAACAGTGTCTAGAGTCTCTAGATATGTTGTCACTGATCTTTGTAAAGAAGTGTCTGTGGCAGATTTTGTGTGTTCAGCTTTACTAGTGAGATCATGTGATCAGTTACAGAGTTTATGAATCTCAGATGTCATGAAGCATAATCATTTAAGCATCAAGAAGATTTTATGAATCTCTTTTAGATAATGAAATGAATGTAAGAAGACTGCAGTGTGAAGTCTTACAGATTTCTTTCTCTTCATAAGTTTTGATTTTCAAGATGTTGATGTGATCAAGATCACAGTGAGAGTGACAGCTTCACTGTGATTGTAACAATTTTGTACAAAATCTCTTTTTAATGTGATGAATGTAAGAAGATCACAGTGTGGAGTCTTAATTCAATCTCAGTTTCTAGATGTAGATGTGACAGTAAGATCACAGCAAGAGTGACAGCTTCTCTGTGATATTAATGTAGTTGCTGTAATGACTGTCATTTCTTATGATTCATCTAGTGATACTTAACAATCTCTTGAATATAAATATCTCTTTCTTAATCTTCTCTCTCTCTCTCTTTCTTTTCTCTTTCAACAACATTCTTCTTTATTTTAATAAGAGTTTCAGACAAGCATTTTCTTCTTGATGATTATAAATCTTGAGAGGCTTTGTAAACAGCTTTTCTCAGTGCTAACATATTGTGCAGAGAGATAATTTTGCTGTATCTTTCTTCTGTTCAAAATTAAGATGTCAAAATGTGAGCAACAATGGCTCAATAAGTTTGAGAATAAAATCTCAATCAGTCATCATTCAAAACTCTCTTCAGAAGCAATGTAAGAGATGTCTTCAGAATCTTCTACTTCATCTGAAGCAGAGTTCTCAACTACTGCCATTTCTCAAGAAAATTAAAGTGAAGAGACATTATTGTCATCAGTTTTCATTTACACAACAGAGAGTTATGTCTCTGAAGACTTTGAGATCTCTTCTCAGACATCATAGCTCAGTCAGTCTGATTCTGATTATGATGATGTAAGTGATATTCTTCCATTTCTTCTTCTTTTAATGCTTCATAATTGCTTTTATGAAGTCTGAAATATTCTTTATGAAGTGTTTTCTCACTCCATAATCCTCTTTTCTGTGTGCATGACTGATGGCATATTCAGAGTGTTAATATTCAAGCTTGATGAGAACACTCAATGGTGTTTACTGTGTTTAGTAATGATTCTTTTTCAACTACTAGCTTCATTGTCTTGATTGATCAGATCTTGAGAGAGGGTGGCCATCTGTCTCTCAAATCTGAAACTCTTGTTAATAATGTGCCATTTCATTTTTCTTGGTCTGATCTGTTTCCATCACATTCATGTTCTCAGTATGTGCTCTTTTCTATGCTGTGTCCATCCTTAAGTATTGATTCTGTCTTCAATGCACTCAAGATATGTTGAGTTGCTTCATAACATGACTTATAAGACAGTTTCTGCTTTGTAAACTCATTTACAAAGTGATATTGAGAGTCTCAGCTAATGCTTTTTCTTTCTCTAGAAGTCAGTCTCATCAACTTCTTCTCTATCTGCTGTGTCTGCTTCTGCTTCTACTTCTGCTCCCCTAATCTCTGTCCTGACTGTTAACTTATCAGTCAGAACATCAGTTACTATGAGCCATCTTCTGCTCTTAATTTCAGATCAGAATTCATTCAGTCATGAGAGACAACTTCTTACTTTCTTCTCTCTTTGATTCACAACTCTTACTGATTCCACAGACTCTGTTCAATTGAGAAATAGAGCCCAGCTCCAGAAAGAAGTTCTGATCATCATGACAGACAATTATTCTCAGCAGTTATGTACAGCATGTCAGAGTAACTTAAATCTTTCATTGAGGCAGTGTGTCACAAGTTCTCTTGATAGAGACAGATGTAATAACTGTATCTATCAGACACACAAAACTTATTCTTTCAATTCTTAGAGTTGCCTTCTTGTTTTCTTTCTTTTGTTACTGTGGGCTTTGATCACTAATAGTCTAGTTTTCTCTTTCTCTTGTGAACTTTGGCCATTAATAGTCTAGTTCTTTCTTTTATCTTAGAGTAAATTCATTACTTCTGCTTCATGAACTACTTCTTGACAGTTGTAAATGCTTTTACAGACTGACTTTTCTTCTAAATTAATTCACTACTCAGGTCACTGCTCTTCTGCTTCATGAATCAATCTCTAACTGCTTTGTAAATGTCTTTATGAACCTAACAAGATCTCTCTAAGTGCACATTCTCAGAATACAGCATAGATCAGACTTGTCTGAATGTTTTTTATGAAACTCAAACAGCTTCTTATCTAGATGTCTCACATTCTTTGAAGACTCTCAAGTTCTTTCCTCATATCTCTGCCATCACACAAGATATTCAATCACTTGACCATTCTTATGAAAGTCAACAATCTTCTGTACCTAATACTCTTGCTTCACAGAGAATGTCTCATGAATTGAGTGGTGTGATTAACTATCCACTCCCTTCCATTCCTTGTGTTTGATTAGAAGAGACACATGAAACACATTGTGTACTCTCAGCTCTGATGATAGTTTCAATTGATAGATTTGGGGCCTCAATTTTTCCACAATTTGATATGATCTGTGTCAGAGAACATTCAACTTCTTGCTACAACATGCTGTTCTAATATTATGAAGATCTAATCACATCTGATCATCTTTGTAAAATGATACTGCAGTATGTTTCTTGTCATAGTAGCTTTTTTGATAGACTTGTGTCTTTACAAGACTCTTCTGAGTCATTTTATGCAGCTCTTCCAACTGATCTGTCAGTTTATGAGACTCAGTTGTGGCTGGCACTGATATTTCTGCTCTCAGAAAATTCATTCACAGATGGCTTGCCATCAAAAGCTCAAAGAGACTCTTTTCTGTTGAGAATTGTCTAGAGTTGTTGTAAGCAAACTCTGCATGAGGCAATTTTCTAACCCAGTTGTCTTGTTCATAATTAATCAAGTTTCATAAGTACTAGTACTATTCAGTCTTTCAGTCTAGTCATCTGTTTGACAATGAAATGCTGTGCTCATTCTTCTATCAACTTTGAGAAGATATAACAGATCTCCTCAGAACTCATTTGCAAATATTAACTCATGGTCAGAAACTATGCTTGAGAGAAGTTCATGCAATCTGACTAGCTCACACATAATCAATTCAGCAAGTTGTTCAGATGTCAGCTCTTTTCTGACTGAAACAAAGTGAGACATCTTTGTAAACTGATTCACAATGATCAGAATACAGTTGAATTCTACTCTCTTAAAATTCTGACTTGATGAGAGATCCATAATCACATTCATCACAATGTATTCCCAAGACTTTTTGAGAATTGACAAAGAAGACATCTCTTCTTGTGATTTCATCTGAATCTATCTGAATCTCAAGCAAACATCACAGACATCAACACATTCTTTCACAAGCTTCTTCATTCTTGGCCAATAGAATCTGTGTGCTAGCAGTTTGTAAGTTCTTTCACTTGCAAAGTGATCTGCCAGAGATAAATCATGATGTCTTTTAATCAATTCAATTCACAGAGCTTCAATCA